CAAATAACCCAGTGAAGAAATGGGCAGAAAACATGAATAGACACTTCTCTAAAGAAGACATCCGGATGGCCAACAGGCATATGAAAAGATGTTCAGCGTCGCTCCTTATCAGGGAAATACAAATCAAAACCACACTCAGGTATCACCTCACGCCAGTCAGAGTGGCCAAAATGAACAAATCAGGAGACTACAGATGCTGGAGAGGATGTGGAGAAACGGGAACCCTCTTGCACTGTTGGTGGGAATGCAAATTGGTGCAGCCGCTCTGGAAAGCAGTGTGGAGGTTCCTCAGAAAATTAAAAATAGACCTACCCTATGACCCAGCAATAGCACTGCTAGGAATTTATCCAAGGGACACAGGAGTACTGATGCATAGGGGCACTTGTACCCCAATGTTCATAGCAGCACTCTCAACAATAGCCAAATTATGGAAAGAGCCTAAATGTCCATCAACTGATGAATGGATAAAGAAATTGTGGTTTATATACACTATGGAATACTATGTGGCAATGAGAAAAAATGAAATATGGCCTTTTGTAGCAACGTGGATGGAACTGGAGAGTGTGATGCTAAGTGAAATAAGCCATACAGAGAAAGACAGATACCATATGGTTTCACTCTTATGTGGATCCTGAGAAACTTAACAGGAACCCATGGGGGAGGGGAAGGAAAAAAAAAAAAAAAGAAGAGGTTAGAGTGGGAGAGAGCCAAAGCATAAGAGACTGTTGAGAACTGAGAGCAAACTGAGGGTTGATGGGGGGTGGGAGGGAGGAGAGGGTGGGTGATGGGTATTGAGGAGGGCACCTTTTGGGATGAGCACTGGGTGTTGTATGGAAACCAATTTGACAATAAATTTCATATATTAAAAAAAAAAAAAAAAAAAATGATTTAAACAGGAGTGCCTGGGTGGCTCAGCCGGTTAAGTCTCTGACTTGGGCTCAGGTCATGATCTCATGGTTTTTGAGTTCGAGCCCCACACTGGGCCCTGTGCTGACAGCTCAGAGCCTGGAGCCTGCTTTGGATTCTATGTCGCCCTCTCTCTCTGCCCTTCCCCCACAGGCACTCTTTCTCTCTCAAAAATACAGTTAAAAACAATAAATAAAATGATTTAAACAATATTGACTACTTTGGTTGGACATAAGCTTATTTATTGTTTATAAATTATAATATAAAGAAAACAACACTTTAAAAAAGGCTGAATGCTAATAACAGCAAATCTTTCGAACTAAACTGCATTCAATTGTTTGGATGGCAGGATCTCACCACAGATTCAGAACTGTGTGGACAGCAATTCCATGAATATATTTTTTTAATTTTTTTAATGTTTACTTATTTTTGAGAGAGAAAGAGCATAAGTGGGGGAGGGGCAAAGAGAGAGGGAGACACAGAATCCGAAGCAGGCTCCAGGCTCTGAGTTATCAGCACAGAGCCTGATGCGGGGATCAAACTCACAAACTGTGAGATCATGACCTGAGCCAAAGTAGGATGCTTAACCGACTGAGCCACCCACGCACCCCAATTCCATGAATATTTTTAAATGAGCACAGAAGAATTTAAAATACAAAACATTTGAAAAATAGCAAAATAGGAAACATTTTTCTTCAGTTGTGCAGGACTAAAGTATGGCAAAATGGTACAGTTCTTCACCAAATGGAACCATTAATTTCTTCATAACCTTCAAGCAACAAGGCCAACGACTAATAAGACTCCAACTGTGATTCCAACCAGGTCCACAATTTCTAATCTATTTATTTATTTAAACTATTTTTGTATTTATTTTTTTAGTATTTATTTATTTTGAGAGAGAGAGAAAGAGACAGAGACAGAGAGCACAAGAGGGGTAGAGAGAGAGAGAGAGAGGGAGCTAGAGAACCCCAAGCAGGCTCAGCACTGTCAGTGCAGAGCCCAATGCGAGGCTCAATCCCTAAACCATGAGATCATGACCTGAGCCAAAACCAAAAGTCGGATGCTTAATCAACCGAGTTACCCATGCGCACCTATTTATTTTAATTTCAATTAGTTAACAGACAGTGTAATATTGGTTTCAGGAGAATTCATCACTTACAACACCCAGTGCACATCACAAGTGCCCTCCTTAATACCTATCTCCTATCTAGCCCATTCCCCACCCATCTTCTTCCACCAACCCTCAGTTTGTTCTCTATCATTAAGAGTCTCTTGTTAACCTGTTCACTCTTAACTGCTATCTCTCTCTACTTACTTTCTCAATGGAATGATAAATCATAATATTAGGGGCCAAGGAGTTCTGGCTTTATCTTGGTAATGAATGAACTGTTTGGGGGAACTAAATGATCCTCAAATGTAAATTTCTGGTAAATTCTTTGTTTTTGTGGGTAGCAGAGCCAGCTGATCCACAAGACCCATTACTAGCACACGGATTACTATTCATCTTTAAATCTAAATGTGTGAGGGTTTCTTCTGCAAGCACCCAGAGGAATGAGCTTCTCAAAATGATGCATATAACCTACACTAAACTAAGAAAGACATTTAAGAAGGCAACTTTGCAGGGCATTTGGGTGGCTTAGTTGGTTAAGTGTCTGACTTCATCTCAGGTCATGATCTCATGGTTCGTGAATTCAAGTTTTGCATCAGGTGAGCTCAAGTCCAGCTTCAGGTAAAAACACGAGCTCTGCTTCAGGTGAGCTCTGCTTCTCTTTCTCTCTCTCTCACCCCGCTTCAGGTGACCCCCTTTCTCTCTCTTTCTCTGACCCTCGCAGGAATGTCTCTTGCTCTCCTCTCTCTGTCCCTAGCTCTCTTGCGACCCCTCTCTCTCAAAAACAAATAAACAACAAAACAGTAACTGGTGTATAGAAGCTATTTTCTGTGTTCAAGAAACTAAAAAGCTGTATTTTTGTGCCTTGGGTTTACATTTCTTTAAATACGTATCACTTGAAAACAGTTGGGGTTGGGATATCTAGAATATAAGGAGGAAAAAAACTCTCAGCTTCAGAAGCACTCCCCAATAGTCCTTAGCCGTCATCATTCAGAAAGGCTAAACCCAACTTTATAGCTAAAGAAAAGTTTCTCATGCACCATCTTTGTCGCTACCAGGGTAGGAGATGATGTCTTGTTTTAAGATGGTCTCGGTTGAGAGGAATGCTATAGGACCAACATGTCTGCTTTGTTTGAAGAGAACTAAAATAATCTTCTCACACAAGGTTTAGTTATATAGTGCAGCTGCAGTGGCTGGTTTTACACATCTCTTAAAGTGTAATTTTAAACAGCCCCAAACTAAAAATGTCCCAGGACTACAAAAGTTCATCCTAACACATTTAGTTACTGCAGAGATATTACCATATTATGGCCTAACGAAGAATTTATTATAGTTGTATTTCAGAACATAGAAATGACCTATAATAAAACCTTCATTGTCCTAAATGAGAGATTTTCTCATCTCACATCAACATTAACAAAAGGTACATTGGGGAAGATGGCTTTTTTTTTTTTAACTGGTCGGCTTGTAGGCTTTTTATTATAAGAATGGTGCTCCTCTTCGAGAATTATCGATGGGAAGATAATCTTACCCAAGTTATAAGAATATTGATTACAATACTGTAGTGTATACATCAATCCTAGACTTACCCTTAGAAGCAACTCTGCCAATATACAGCCGACAGCCCACATGTCCACACCTACACCATACATTCTAGCTCCAAATAGTAACTCGGGGGCCCGATACCACCTGAAGAACAAAAAGAAATATTGTAAGTTTTGTTTGTTTATTTATTTATGAATGAGACAGAGAGCATGAACAAGGGAGGGACAGAGACAGAGGAAGACACAGAATCTAAAGCAGGCTCTAGGCCCTGAGCTGTCAGCACAGAGCCTGACACAGGGCTTAAACCCACAGAGCACGAGATCATGACCTGAGCCAAGTCAGACATTTAACCAACTGAACCGCCCAGGTACCCCAGAAATATTTTAATTTTAAAATGAATTTTAAAATAATTTAAAATGAAATTATTAAAGTATTTCTTGGAGAAAAGTCCTCAGCGAAACATCATCCCACTGATGAAATTCATGTTTATAGATATAACTCAAGAAAAACTGGCTGTAAAACCAATCAGTTCCATACTGGAAATTAAACACATCCTTGGTCCATTCACTCTTCCACTCTTAGATGACTGACACCTTTTTTCTCCTGAAACTTTCAATACCATCTTTCCCCTAAGCCTATAATCCTATTTCCAACTTCACTGAAAAAAATTCAAGTAATGGGAAAAAAAAGAATTATTTTTTCAAAAGAAAAAAAAATTTTCTACAGATTCACCTACAGTCATTTGTATTCACACAACCTGCCTTTCCATCTGTAACTAGAGCTAAATCATCCCGGACCGGTTTTTTTTTTTGTTTTGTTTTGAAATGTTTATTTATTCTTTTTTTTTTAATGTTTATTTTATTTCTGAGAGAGAGAGAGAGAGAGAGAGAGAGAGAGAGGGGCAGAGCACGATCAGGGGAGGAGCAGAGAGAGGGAGGGAGACACAGAATCTGAAGCAGGCTCCAGGATCTGAGCTGTCAGCACAGAGCCCGACGAGAGGCTTGAACTCAAGAGCTGTGAGATCATGACCTGAGCCAAAACTGGACGCTCAACCGAATGAACCACCCAGACGCCCCTATTCTGGACTATTTTAAAGCCAGTATCTCAACTGTGGGTACTAGAGACCTTGCTCTCTTGCTTATTTTTTTTTCTTCTTTTTTTTAACATTTATTTATTTTTGAGAGAGAGAGAACATGAGTGCGGAGGGGCAGCGAGAGAGGGAGACACAGAATCTGAAGCAGGCTCCAGGCTCCAAGCGGTCAGCACAGAGCCCGATGCAGGGCTCGAACTCACAAACCGTGAGATCATGACCTGAGCCGAAGTCAGCCGCTCAGCTGACTGAGCCACCCAGGCGCCCCTCTCTTGCTTATTTTAAAGAATACTGAAATTCTCTCCATTTTCTCCCACATCAACGTTTTCTTCTTCACTAGACTTTTACCAATAATGTACAAACAACATTATTTCTTCAGCCTGAAGAAATAAACTAAAAAACAAAGTAACAACAAAAAATTCTCTGGGCCCTACCTCCTCCAATAGCTGTCTCCACATTCTCTAGTTATTCTGAAAAGCTGTCTGTTCTTATGGTCTCCAATTCCTACTTTCTTATCCTTTCTTTTTTTTTTTTTAATGTTTTATTTATTTTTAAGAGAGAGAGTACAAGAGGGGGAGAGGCAGAGAGAGAGAGAGAGAGAGAGAGACACAGAATCCACAAAGCAGGCTCCAGGCTCCAAGTGTCAGCACAGAGCCCAACGTGGGGCTCAAATCCACAATGAGATCATGACCTGAGCCGAAGCCGGACACTTAACCAACTGAGCCACTCACACCCAGGCTGCCCCATATTTTCTTATCATTTAAACCCTTTCACGGAGGAAATTTCAGATCCTTAAAATAGACTTGGAAATTAACAAATGACATCCTGACTAGAATTATAAAATCTGTCCCTATCTATTTCATTTGATTTTTTTTAGTTTTTATACATAAAAAGTATAAAACATGAGTACTAAAAACATGAAAACTCCAGTTATCAATGTACTGCTTTAGAGAATTTTTATTCATACTGAATGATTTAAAACATGAAATCACTTAATGACCTATAAAATAAACACAACCCCCCCCCCCCCAATCAGGTAAATATGTAAAAAAATAGCCACTACAGTTCCAGCCAACCTAACTAAATGTAGAAGTGGTATAAATTAGTCCCAAAACTTGTTAGGTAAATGTCTGAAAATGGGTTAATCGAACTCCATTTGAAAAAATGGCTGTATTTTTTTCATTGTGGTTAAACGTAAAGAGGTCCATGTTTTTAGCAAAACACCAACAATAATTCCTGAACTCTGCCGAGATATTTCAAAGAAGCCAAATGATGCTCATTTGTGATTAATATCCTACACAACAAGGGGCACCTGGCTGGCTCAGTCGGTAGAGATAGGACTCTCAATCTCAGGGACATGAGTTCAAGCCCACGTTGGGCCCACGGAGAACTTGTTTAAAAAAAAAAAAAATCCCACACAACGTAAGTTTTCAGTGTTTTAAAAAATTCTTACCTGGTTACAACCTGATGTGTATATGCTCTATTGGGGCTCCCAAATGATTTGGCCAGGCCAAAATCTGCCAGTTTTAGAACTCCATTTTCATCCAGCAACAAGTTATTTGGTTTTAGATCCTGTACATGGAGGTTTTAAATAAATACATAAGCAGGGCACAAGAGAATATTATAACAATACACTTAGTTGGCTTAACTTTAAACTTTGCAATAACAGGGTAAACCCCAAATTTAAATAATAATCAATATTTTTCTCACTGATATAAAATCCTACCAAAGAGAAATTAACATTGGTTATATTACTTTGGTGAGACCTTGGATCACTGAGCTTCAATTTACCTACAAGGTTGCTGTGAACAGCCTAGTGTAATGACTATGAACTCAACAAAGAGTTGCTGCCATCTGAACTTCGGTAAATAAAAACATTATGCATTTAGAGAGGATGAGGAATATATCCTTCAAAATCTATACTATAATGATATTAGTAATAACCTCAAAGGGATCCCAAGTTTAGGATATGAGGATTACTGACTACAAATTATATATTCTCAGCTATTTATCTAAACAGAATATCTAAGAACATCTACCTATTAGATTATCAGTCTTGTTTCAATAGCTGGATATTTCTAACAATGACTCAACTATTTCAGAAATTTTATTACTTCATAGATTTTTAGAGTTCTTAGAAATTTTGTTTTTCTAAAAAAATTTTAGGATTGTATACTTTAATCCAGATTCTCACTGTATTTTTTTTTCTGTCACAACAATACAGCACAAAGAACACTGGAGTTAACCCAAACATGTAGATTCTAATACTCTGCCAGTTACCAGCTACTGACCTTGAAAAAATACATATAACCTTGGTCAGGTGACTTAGCAACTTAGCTCTTCATCTATGAAAAAAATGAACTGGGCCTCTTCCATTTTTAAATTTCACATAGTATTTTAGAATCCTCATAGCACCACCTCCTGGAACAACTGAAGGGAACACAGAGGAAGAAGGTGGGATACAGTGGGGTCCAGCTTTATTTTTAACAATTTACATATTCAGACCATTTATGTAATAATTGGCTACATAAACCTTGACTAAAATATAAAGAATCGATCATACTTGGTTAAAAACCTTACCCTATGTAGAATCCAATGTTGATGTAAATATTCTAACCCTTGAAGAGTCATTAACATGTAGGCTTTGATGTGTGATGGTGTCAGCACTAGACTATTATCCTTTATTATCACCTGCAAAGCCGGTATATAATATACAATTATTCCAAATAAATTATATCACATAAAATCATTTACAGACATAAAATCAATTTATCCATTCTACAGAACAATCTCAAGAAAGACTGCCTAACTCTCCTTAGGAAGCACTGTCAGAATTTCAAGTTACATGGTTAGGAAAAATATCTCTTCTGGTGCTTTCTCTCCTCCCGTTCTGTTTAAAAGGCACTAATAGTGAACATCTGTTGTTTTGCTTGCCCCAGGATGTACAGCCCCTTCTGATAACAGCATTCATCATTTGTTTGAATGTAAAACAGGACTGACTACTACCTGTGGCCTCTAGAACTAGATACAAGACCCAGGCACAGGCAACCACCAAACTGAAGCCTGTTATCCAGGAAACTGGTTTAGGGATGGACATGTGATCCAGCCAAGCTAATTAAAGAGGCCAAGTACTTCTGCTAGAATGAAAAAGGACAAAGTACCTTCTCTTTCTTTAGAGATTAATAAACTCTAAGCATCTGAGCCTGAAGTGCCTGAGTCACTATATTGAGAAATTAGGCACTATATTGAGAAGGCAGGCAACAAAGTAGAAAATAGAGCTAAGTTAAAGTCCAAGACTGAGTTCTGATGGCATTATTTGTGAACTGTACTTAAAGACAGTTTATTCCTAGATTTTTAAGTTATACTAGCTAAAAATTCCCATTTTATTTTTTTAGAAATCAGATTTGGATAAAAGGTATCCAAACTAGCAAGAAGAAATAACTTTCATTGTTTGCAGACGACATACTACTATATATAGAAAACCCTAAAGATTCATAGTATTTATTTTTTTTTATTTTTTTTTTTAAATTTTTTTTTTCAACATTTATTTATTTTTGGGACAGAGAGAGACAGAGCATGAACGGGGGAGGGGCAGAGAGAGAGGGAGACACAGAATCGGAAACAGGCTCCAGGCTCTGAGCCATCAGCCCAGAGCCTGACGCGGGGCTCGAACTCACGGACCGCGAGATCGTGACCTGGCTGAAGTCGGACGCTCAACCGACTGCGCCACCCAGGCGCCCCCAGATTCATAGTATTTAAAGAACCACTAGAGAGCCTAAATGTCCATCAACTGATGAATGGATAAAGAAATTGTGGTTCATATACACAATGGAGTACTACACGGCAATGAGAAAGAACGAAATATGGCCCTTTGTAGCAACGTGGATGGAACTGCAGAGTGTGATGCTAAGTGAAATAAGCCATACAGAGAAAGACAGATACCATATGTTTTCACTCTTATGTGGATCCTGAGAAACTTAACAGAAACCCATGGGGGAGGGGAAAGGAAAAAAAAAAAAAAGAGGTTAGAGTGGGAGAGAGCCAAAGCATAAGAGACTCTTAAAAACTGAGAACAAACTGAGGGTTGATGGGTGGTGGGAGGGAGGGGCGGGTGGGTGATGGGTACTGAGGAGGGCACCTTTTGGGATGAGCACTGGGTGTTGTATGGAAACCAATTTGACAATAAATTTCATATATTGAAAAAAAATAAAAATAAAGAACTACTAGAACTGATAAGTGAATTCGGGAAAGTGGCAGGATACAAAATCAATGTAGAGAAATCTGTTGCATATCTAAACACTAATATGGAAGTAGCGGAAAGAAAAATTAAGAGAACAATCCCATTTGCAAAAACAAAAAAAGAAATCAGATTCAGGTAAAATATGCCCTTTTTGGTGCATAGTTCCATGAGTTTTAACAAACATATCCAGTTGTGTAATCACTACCATAATCAAGATAAGAGTTCTATAACCCTCACTCCCACCCCCAATTGCCTCAGGCCCCACTGTACCCAGTACTTCCGTCCACTCCAATCCTGGCCACAACTGATCCAATTTCTATTCCTTTAGTTTTGCCTTTGCCATAATATCACATAAATAGAATCATATAATACATAGCCTTTCAAACCTGGGTTCTTTCATTTAGTACAATGCATTTGAGATTTCTCTATACTGTTGCTTAATTGAGTAGTTAATTTCTTTTTATTCCCGAACAGTATTCCATTATATAGATATACCACAGTTTGTTTATATATTCACTATACAAAAGTGAGTACTGGATTGTTTCCAATTTGGGCAATAATGAATAAAGCTAAACATCTGTGTACCAACTGATTTCTGTGTAGACAGGTTTTTGTTTCTCTTGAATACCTAGCAGTGGTATTGCGAGATCGTACTTTATGTGTGTATTTAACTGTTTAAGAAACTGCCAAACTATTTTCCAAACTGGCTGTACCATTTTGCATTCTCACCAGCAGCATATGAGACTTTCAGTTGTTCAACATCCCTGGATTGTCAATTTTTGAGATTCAATTAATATTAAGAAAAACCGTAACATTTTAATTTCTCAAAAACAAAAATTTGGCTTTCAAAAAGATGATATTCTGTAATAATATGGAAATTCTGAAAGACCTGATATTCATTTATCTAAAAATAATGTCAATAAAGTATAGGGAACTTGGTCAACAAAAATGCTTTGAAATCCAAATCTCTGTATCTAACACTGGGAATATGGCTAAATGACTCAAAAGATCTTTCACTTAAGAATACTGGGGCACCCGGGTGGCTTAGCCAATTAAGCGTCCAACTTCGGCTCAGGTCATGATCTCGAGGTCTGTGAGTGTGAGCCCTGTGTCGGATTCTGCACTGACAGTGTAGAGCCTGGAGCCTGCTTTGGATTCTGTGTATCCTTCTCTCTGCCCCTCCCCCACTCACGCTCTGTCTGTGTCTCAAAAATAAACAAACATTAAAAGAAAAAAAAAGAGTACATTCACATTTAGGGGTGCCTGGGTGGCTTAGTCAATTAAGTGTCTGATTTCTGATTGTGACTTAGGTCATGATCTCACAGTTGTGAGACTGAGCCCCAAGTAGAGCTTTCAGCTGGCTCTGGAGCCCACTTGAGATTCTCTATCTCACTCTCCATCTGACTCTACCCTGTGTGCTCAAACACAAATGCTCTCTTTCTCTCTGTCATTCTGGTGGGGGCGGGGGAGTACATTCACATTTCAACAAAATTAAGCATTCCTTTGACTAACAGTATCTTTAAACATAGAAAATAAACATTTAGGTTTTCTTTTGATTTAGAGAGAAAAAAATTTCTCTACGAATCTGAATCTTACCTCCAGATCAGTTTCCATAAAATCAAAGACAAGGCTAATATTAGATTTATGTCCAAACGCATCAAGGAGCTGCAAAGCAGTATTAAAAAAAAAAGATCAAAATCTGATTCTCTATTAAATACTTGAAAATTATACCAACCCAAGTAATTTCAAAAAATTTAAACTAGCATTGGACTGCTGATATTTCCCTGTTAAATTTGAATTATTTTATTAAATTTGACATTTATCCTTTTTTCCCCCCTAGGAATTAGTACTTTGAAGCACAAAAATACTAAACTTTAGTATTTTTAAAAAGTCACTAGGAGTCCCTGCGTGGCTCAGTTGGTTAAGTGTCTGATTCTTGATTTCAGCTCAGATCATGATTTCAGGGTCATGAGATCCAGCCTCGCATCAGGTTCTGTGCTGAGCATGGAGCCTGCTTGAGAATGTCTATCTACCCCTCTCCTGCTCACGTGCTCTCTCTCTCTCTCTCTCAAATAAATAAACAAACATTTTTTAAAAAGTCACTAACTACTTAAATTCTCCTCCAAAATTTTCAGTTATAATTAAGAAATCATTAATGAAAATCTTACCATGCTCAGTATTTAAGAAAATCCTATAAATAGCAGTGGCAGCTATCATTCATTATATGCCATCTCTATGCCAGGCACTATTTTCCAGGTACTTTGCACACATTCAATAAATTAACTAGTCTCGCAACAACCCTATGAGGTAGAAATTATGGCACAGAGTCGTAGGGAGCTTACTCAAGCTTATGCATGTTAGAGCTCTCTAGGCTTCAAAATAATTTTTGACAAAATTAAATTTATTTCATCAGTTATACGGTTTTAAAGACACTGCCTCCAGTCCAATTAGAACAAAAAATACATTTTGGCATGATAAACTTTTAAGCTTTTTTACAAGGCTCACCTAAAACAACTCATCTTGCTGAGCCTTCAATCAACAACTACCACATTCAGAAATGGGAGGGTCCCAAATCCCAGAAACAATGTAGATCATACTCACACCAATTATATTTGGATGACTTAGCTCCTGTAATAATTTTATCTCTCTTAAGGCTGTTCTATTTATACCTATATAAAAAAGCAGAGCAAAATGTGAAAAGCAATTCTGAAGTCTCATATCTTCTTACAAACATTTTTTAGGGAAAGGTTAGTCTTTCGGGGAATAGATATGCATATTCTACAGAAAAATAAGGGCTACTTTGCCAATTTTTATGACATCTGGTTTTCTTTTATACTGCTTTATTTTGAAATTAGCTTCACACAGACTATGATAAATGATGACAAAAAGTATTCACTTTGCAGCATATCACTTTAGAAGACTGCTGGAATAACAGGTGTCGGCTTGTAACATGAAGACAATATGTCAAGAGCTTCCTCCTTCTTACATTATGAATATTAGCAACAGATTCTTGACGGTAACAGCAAAACAATGGTAAGACAGTATCTTTCCCAAAACAAAAGATAGAATTCCTAATTTAAAATAAGATCTGGTACTAGCTGTTAAATAGATGATGGATCCTTTTTATAAAGACTAGTTCTTGATGACTAAATAAGACTTAACACTATAGCACACAAGGGTGTGGAAGGGATAAAGATATTTTCCTCCATACATTTATTCCAGAGTGAGTTTTCTGTACTTCTATGAAGCTATATCCTGAATTTTTAAAGTAATTAAAAGCTAAGATAAAAAATAAACTGCTTACACAACACGTTAAACAGTAATGAAGACTGCAAGACAAGCCACTGATAAATAACTTTGCTATGTTCCATTTACTCAGATGACTTGAGTGACTTACATGACTCTTAACAACCAAATGGTGGATATCACCGATATCCTGTCTCTATCCTGAGTCTACTCTTCTAGCACCCTGCAAAAACTCTACCCTGAGCCACTTAGAACGCTAATACTTGAACTTCCTCAGTGAGAAGAAAAACTTACCCTGTTTGGTCAGATTACATTAAATACTCACCATCTTTAGCTTCTGATCTATGTCCAAGTTTAATCTGGTAGAGGGGGAAAAAAACAAACACTAAAAATGTGTTAAGTTATTTTACACTTCATGAGTAAAATACAAACACTTCAAATACATAGCCACAGTAAAAACAGGCAGCAACTTACATGTAGCTAGTAAGCAAGAAGAGAGTCGAAATCACTAATTTCTTTTTTTTTTTTTAATTTTTTTTTTCAACGTTTATTTATTTTGGGGACAGAGAGAGACAGAGCATGAACGGGGGAGGGGCAGAGAGAGAGGGAGACACAGAATTGGAAACAGGCTCCAGGCTCCGAGCCATTAGCCCAGAGCCTGACGCGGGGCTCGAACTCACGGACCGCGAGATCGTGACCTGGCTGAAGTCGGACGCTTAACCGACTGCGCCACCCAGGCGCCCCGAAATCACTAATTTCAAAAGCAAAATTAACAATATAAGAAAGGATCAAGTACCTACCATTCCTCACTCTTTAAGTTTTTAAGTTATACATTCAAATAATGGACTTAAGAAAATAAATGTCTCCTGTATCTTTGCAAGATTAAATGTGGAAAAGTAACTGAAGGCATCCTGATTAACAAACAAAAATATCACTTCAAGGTAGCCTATTTGGGAGGAAATACATAACATGTAAACATAAAATAACATGTTTTAAAAAAATGTTTATGTATTTTTTTTGAGACAGAGGGCGCACGCAAGTGGAGGAGGGGCAGAGAGAGGAAGACAAAGGATTCAAAGGCTGCTACGTGCTGACAGCAGTGAGCCCAATATAGGGCGCAAACTCAAGATGCAAGAGACCATGACCTGCGCCGAAGTCGGATGCTCAACCAACCAAATAAGCAACCCTGGAGCCTCTAAAGTAACATGTTTATTAATATGCCCAATAATATGCTCTTAGGGCAACAGTTTCTAAAAAGCAAAATTACAACTTAGGAATACAAAAAATGGTTCAACTGTTGTTACCATTAATAAGTGTAACAATAAAAAAATAAGTATAACAAATTGCATTAATAGGTTCAGGCTTACACCAGTCTCTTACTCACTGCTTTATACAATGACTAAATGCAATCAAGAATACTAAAAAACAAAACAAAACAAAATAAAAAAGAACAACTACTTCTGAAAAAGCTATTGTACCTAAAAAACTAAATACAAACTGATTGCGGCCACTGTGGAAAACAGTACAGAAGTTCCTCCAAAAATTAAAAATACAATTACCACAGGATCCAGTAATTTCACTACTGGGTATTTACCTACCTAAAGAATATGAAAACACTAATTCAAAAAGATATATGCACCCCTGTGTTAACTGCAACATTATTTACAAAAGCCCAACTACAGAAGCAACTCAAGTGCCCAAGTGTCCATCTATAGATGAATAATAAAGATGTGGTACATATATTCACAATAGACTATTACTCGGCCACAAAAAAGAAAAGAATGAAATCCTGCCATTTACAACAACATGGATGGATCTAGAGGCTATAACACTAAGTGAAATAAATAAGAGAAAGACAAATACCGTATGATTTCTCTCATACGTGGAATTTAAGAAGCAAAACAAACTCAAATAAAAAAGGAGACAAAAACCAAGAAACAGACTCTTAACTACAGAGAACAAAGAGAGAAGGTAGGGAGACTGGGTGAAATAGGTTAAGGGGATTAAGAGTACACTTATGATAAACCGTGAGTTACGTATAGAATTGTTGAGTCACTATATTGTACATCAGAAACTAATGCAACACTGTATGTTAGCTATACTGGAATTAAAAAAATAAGATTCTTGACAAGGATAAAAAATATAGATTAACAGACATAGAAAGACATCTCCCTATAATACTACAGACACAACTTTTTACGTAAAGATAGACTAGTATAGCATCAAAAAATATAAGGCACTTTAGGAATAAATCTAACAACAGATGTGCTAAGCCTTCCAAAACTAAATTATAAAAGAATATTAAAACATGCTTAAAAATGAGACCAAAATAAACAAATGGCACATTCATGGACAGCAAAACTCAGTACTATCATAAATATACCAAATACATAAATTTTCTTTAAGTTCAATGCAACCAAATCCAAATCTCAACAGCATTTTTTAAAGAACAGTGACAGGGGCACCTGGGTGTCTCAGGTCATGAACTCACAGCTCATGAGTTCAAGCCCCACATCGGGCTCTGTGCTGACACCTCAGAGCCTGGAGCCTGCTTCGGATTCTGTCTCCCTCTCTCTCTGTTCCACCTCCGCTGGAGCTCTGCTTCTCTCTCTCTCTCTCTCTCTCTCCCCAAAATAAATAAAGATTACAAAAATTTTAAAAAGAAAGAAAGAAAGAAAGAAAGAAAGAAAGAAAGAAAGAAAGAAAGAAAGATGACAGATCGATTCTAAATTCTACATGGAATATTAAAGAGCTAAGAACAATTTTAAAAATTATTAATTTTCTGAATTAAAAAAATTATTTTTAATTTATTTTTGAGAGAAAGATACAGAGCAAGCAAGGGAGGGACAGAGAGAGAGGGAGACACAGAATCTGAAACAGGCTCCAGGCTCTGAGGTGTCAGCACAGAGGTGGACGTGGGGCTTGAACTCATGAACCACGAGATCACGACCTGAGCCAAAGTCGGACACTTAACCGACTGAGCCAGGAAGGTGCCCCTAAAATTATTACATTTTCCAACCACAGTAAAAATATATTAGTTTCATGAAGTCATCTACTTCATCACCCAGATTAAACAATTATCAGTATTTTGCCACGCTTATTTCATTATTATAGTTTTTAAAATGTTTACTTACTTTTTTTAATGTTTGAGGGAGAGACAAAGCGCGAGTGGTAGAGGGGCACAGATAGAGGGAGAAAGAATCCGAAGCAGGCTCCAGGCTCCGAGCATTCAGCACAGAGCCCAATGCCAGGCTCAAACTCAAGAACCTCAACATCACGACTTGAAGCCAAAGTCAGAGACTTAACCAACTGAGCCACCCAGGTGCCTCAATGTTTATTTGTGAGAAAGAGAGAGAGAGTATGCTAGCGCATGGAGGTGGTGGAAGGGCAGAGAGAGGGAAAAGAGGATTCCAAGCAGGCTCCATGCTGACAGCAGAGAGCCCAACATGGGGCTCAAACTCGCCAACCATGAGATCATGATCTCAACCAAGTTGAATGCTCAACCTACTGAGCCACTCAGGTGACCCTCACTTACTACATCATTAATCTCTGCCCCCCTTTCTGTTGGCTAAAATGTTTTATAACAAACCTCACATTTCATGTCATTTCATCCCCATGTACTTAAGTAGGCACCTCTAAAATACGGACATTTTCTTACATATGCAAAATGCTATTTCATACCTACAAAATTATTAATAATGCCTCAGCACCATGTAATATCTAATTCATATGAAATTCTGATTGTCAGAAATTTCCCAAGTGGCAGATAAAGTAGACAAGGTAATTTTGAAGAAAAACAGGTATGTGCAACTTACCAGATTTCAAGCCTTTTTATAAGGCAGTAATAATTAAAGACACTATAGTACTTGAGCAAGGATGGAAAAAAACCAATCAATGGAAAAAAAGTACGGTGCCCGGAAACAGATCCAAGTGTATAATGGAACATGGCATTACAATTAAATGCAGAACTTCGTGTTACAACTCACCAGGAAAAGGACAGACTATCAATTATGCTGGGTCAGCAAGGAAAAAAAAACTGGATCCTCATATTACACAAAATAGAAAAATTAACTCCAGATGGAACAAAGACCTAAGTGTGAAAAGCAGTATTTTAAAATATTTAGTAAATAGAATCTTTTACAAACTGGAGGTTGGCAAGCATACAAAATGGAAACCCATGAAGGAAAAAAATGGACAAATTCAACCAGAACAGAATTCTAAATTTCTGTGCTTCAGAAGATACCATATATAAACTAAAAGTCTAGTTGAAGACTGGGAGATGATATCTGTAGTTTGTATTTTTGACAAAGGGTCGATGCCCAGAATATATAAAGAATTCCACCAAATCAACAGGAAGGAAAAAATGTAAGCAAGCTAACAGAAAAACTCATAGGACAAAGTGTAAAAAGTTAATAAATCTAAGAAAGAATGATCAATCTAAATGGTAATCAGAGAAATTGAAACAATTATTTTAAACAATTAAACAATCATATACTATTTCTGATGCAGGTAATTGACAAATGTTGTAAAATCTGACAATACAAATATGGTAAGAATATGGGGAGGAGGTCAAACTAGTCCAACCACTTTGAAGAGCAATCTAACAATATGTGGTGAGGCTTATGCTATATATTCCCTAAAAGAATAATAATTCATAGTTGGCTTCAAATAAGGATATATTCTCTAAAGAAACTCACATGAATAGGAATGTCTATAGGGCTATTTTAAGGGAAATCATAAAGACAACAAAACAGCCTAAATGTTTATCAACAAGAATTTGGATGGGCAAATTTTACTGTAGTCATATGATGAAATCTAATCACCAATGATCATAAATAAACCAGATCTACAGTATCCATGTAGAAGATTTCAGAAATAATGCTGAATCAGAAAAACAAACTGCGAAAGAAAATTTATATATGGGGGTTAGGCAGGCAGGCAGGCAGGCAGCCAGCAAGTAAACAAAATACTCCAAAAGGCCACTAATACAGGATTGGTTAAATAAATTGGGAAACATAAATTCAGTATGATCTGTTTAATAAGATGAGGTAGAGACCAATGCTATTTTATAAATTTCAGTAGAAATTAAATATTCCACTTACCTCTATGACATCTTAAAAGTCCAAGATACAATAGGTGAAAGAATACAGAATATTCATTTTTTGTAAAATTAAGCACACATGTTAGTAAATGAACGAGTAAAAATTTTGAGTGTTGGGAGGGGAAGGTCCAAAAACATCAAATCTATAGCAGAAAGAATGCCTAAAACGAGGTTTGGGGGGGGGGGGGTGGGTCTCAAGAAATAACGATGTAAGCAAATTATTTAATGAAACAGAAATAAGTAAATACCAGAAAGGGGTACCTGGATGGCTCAATAGGTGGAACATGTGACTCTTGATCTCAGGGTTGTGAGTTCAAGCCCCAAGTTGGGTATAGAGATTGCTTAAAAAGAAGCGAATATTGGGGCCCCCAGGTGGCTCGGTTGGTTAAGCATCCAACTTTGGCTCAGGTCATGATCTCGTGGTTTGTGGGTTTGAGCCCCGCGTCAGGCTCTGGGCTGACAGCTCAGAGCCTGGAGCCTGATTCGGATTCTGTGTCTCACTCTCTCTCTGCCCCTCCCCTACTTGCACTCTGTCTCTCTCACTCTCTTTTATCAAAAATAAATAAACATTTAAAAAAAAAAAAAAAAGTAAATACCAGAGGCAAATTATAGGAGTTGAAAGTGATTGCTCCAAGGAGTGAAAAACAGGGCTAGAAGAGTCAAGCACCTTAAAAAGCCTTGGCCTTTTATTTTAAAACCACAAAGATGTATTATTGGAAATAAAAATTAAATGTAAAGGAGCACCTGGCTGGTTCAGTAGGAAAAGCATGTAACTCCTGATCCTGGGATGGTGAGTCAAGCCTTATACTTACTGGGTGGCAGAAATTACTTAAGCATAATATTAAAAAAATAAATGTACGGGCACCTGGGTGGCCCAGTCGGTTGAGCATCTGACTCTTGATTTTGGCTCAGGTCTTTATCCCGATGTAGTGGAATCGAGTCCTGCATCGGGCTCCACACTGAGAGTAGAGCCTGCATAAGACATTTTCTCTCTCTCTCTCCCACTGCCCCTCTCCCTTGCTCTCTCTCTCTCTCAAAATTAAAGAAATAATAATAAATAAATAAATAAAAGAAGATTCCACTGTGAGTCACCGTCAAGGGGTAAAAGTCTATCAAAGAGAAACAGGATGGATTTTAAATCCTAACTTATGTTAAAAACAAGCAAAAAAAACCCCAAACAAAACAAACCCCACTAGGATTTTCAGACAACTACAGAACTCAATATACTAACACTGAAGGAATTATATCAATGTGGTTAATCATTTTTATTTTTTATTTATAGTTTTTAATGTCTTATTTTATTTTTCTTTTTAATTTTTTTTTCAACGTTTATTTATTTTTGGGACAGAGAGAGACACAGCATGAACGGGGGAGGGGCAGAGAGAGAGGGAGACACAGAATCGGAAACAGGCTCCAGGCTCTGAGCCATCAGCCCAGAGCCTGACGCGGGGCTCGAACTCCCGGACCGCGAGATCGTGACCTGGCTGAAGTCGGACGCTTAACCGACTGCGCCACCCAGGCACCCCGATTATTTTATATTTGAGAGAGAGCATGTATGCGTGAGCACGGGAGCATTAGAGAGAAAGAGAGAGAGAGAGAGAGAGAGAGAGAGAGAGAGAGACGATCCAAAGCAGGCTCTGCACTGACAGCACAGAGCCCAATGCCAGGCTCAAACTCACAAACTGCAAGATGATGACCTGAGCTAAGTTGGATGCTTAACTGACTGAGCCACCCAGGCACCCCAGGTTAATACATTTTTAATAAATGTCTACAAAACTACTGGCCACAGACCAAAGTATTATTTGAGTGGAAGTAGACACACAATAAGTTGATAGATAAGAGGACTTCAGATTTTGATAAATGTTATGAAGATAACGGAGAAATATGGCAAAGAAGACAAGGGTGACCAGTGAGGGCCTCTATGTGGAACAGACATGTGAGTGAGTTTTCAAGATTAGGAATCAGTCATGCCAAGTTTTAGAGGAAAAATATGCTAACCAGAAGGCAGCATATGATGCTGCAATGATCCTAGGAACGAACTGAATTTAATGTGTTCAAGGGACAGAAAGGTCAGTGGGGCTAGAATATAGTGAACCACGGGTAGAAATAAAAACATAACTTTAGAAAGGGTCAGAATAGATTAGGCTTTTACACAGGAGTAGCTACAGTGCTGGATTACAGAACATAAATTGGGAAATGAAGCGGAGAGAAGCCAGAAAAAGTGAAAAGACAAAAATAGCAAAAATAACTGTGCAAAGGGAGATAGGAAGTCAGGTATTAAATGAATCAGGGGGATATGCTTCAAAGGAGTTAGGAATTTTGAAGGAGAAACAGATTCAAACAGCAACAGGAACAATAAGAAGGTGGAGATCACCTCCCCCAACAGGCCCTGAAATGTGACAACAGCCTCTCTTTCAGAGGGTTACTGATTTCAGTAGCACAGGAAAGAACATGCAACCTGGCATCAAAACACCTGGATTGAAATTCTAGTTTTATCAGTTAGGATCTGTGTCAGCTTGACGAGTTACTTAATCTTTCTTAGCTCAGGTATCTCAGGTATTATATAGGGATACTTTATTTCACATGGCTATTTTGAAGACTAAAAGAAAAAACGTAAGTGAAAGTGCCTGACATGTAGAAAATAAGCTAAATATGACTGAAGTTTCTTGAATGAATCCAAGTCAAAAAGCTACAAAAATAATTTTTTTTAAATGATAATGATAATGCTCGTAAAAGCCTTACATGGAAAATCTGTACACAGAAAATACAAATGAGGGGCGCCTGGCGGAGGGGCGGGGGGTGGGGTCCGGTTCAGACCATTAAGCTGTAGAACTTGATTGTGGCTCAGGTCATGATCACACGCTTTGGGAATTCGAATCTGCTGACAGTACAGAGTCTACTTGAGATTCTTTTTCTCCCTCTCTCTGCCCCTCCTCCCCCTCTCAAAATAAACTTAAAAAAAGAAAGAAAGAAAGAAAGAAAATACAGACGATGCACAAAATGGATGCAGGTGTGGCAAAAACGGTGACCTGGGAAGATAAGGATATTAAAATAGTTCTAAGGACCCAACAGATGAGTCCTTGTCCCCCTTGCCCACGTCTGAGTTTAAAAAGCACACGTAACATACAGCTTTCTCTTTATTTCAACTAATGGAACAACAACAAAAAACTAGTTCAACCCGAGTTCCATCTTGGAACACAAAATACTAATAAATTCTACCTTCCCCGAAAATGACATAAATAACTCCTCATGAGCAGAGTACGGTCAAGAGTAGTAAAAAGCCCATGCAAGAGCTCACACACACAGATATGCTCGGAGACTCCAGGAAAAATAACAGACGGTAACTCACTTTCTTAATGGCGACAATTTGGTTGGTGTTCTTGTCTCTGGCCTTGTAAACCGTGGCAAACTAGAGAGAAAAGCAGAAACAATCTAAGTTCGTGGGAGCTCTTTTGTGTTTGCCTTTTCACTTTTTCAGATCCGGAGAAGCAAACACCCCACGGCTGTTGAAGATGCGCGGCTGCTTGAAACGTGGTGAGGCGATCAACTGCCCGTTCCAGTCTATTCTTCAGAAAGGGAGGACCACTCGGGAGCTCTCCTCTAGGGTACACACACGGGCAGACTCGCCCAAAAAGAAGGAGAAGCCAGGCCAGTCCTCTGACTTCCACCAGAAAACGTACGAGTGTGTCAGGCGGCTCCGCGCTCTCGGCTCAGGCCCCCCCGAATCCCGCCCGGGAACCTCACCTGTCCCTCCCCGAGGAAGTCCAGTTTTTCATAACGCTTTGCTCGCGACTTCACGTCCACCGCCATCCGTCGCACGAAACGCGACTCCAACTGTAAAGGGCGAGCTCCCGAGACAGCAGGAATTTAAAGCTACCTTAGAGCCTCCAACAGCCACTTCCGTTGACGGAAAGCCGACGCTTTACTAGCTCCGCCCCTACTTCCGGTTTGAGCTGGATGCTGCTAAGTCCAGCCAGAGCTTCCTCTACGGAAGCGGCGCGAGTCAGCCCTGTTGGCGTTTCTGCGTGGTCCGCGCCGCGTCTCGCTATAGCCTGCTGGTCCCGGAAGCGGAATGTTTTAGGTGGTGACTGTAACCCTGTAACCCTGTACGGTTTTAAGTTAGCTATTTCCTTCACTACCGGAGACAGGTCAGCGTTCTGCTACGATGTTCTGAGTTCGGGTCTTAATGTATGAGTGTGGAAGGCTTGACCTCTTTATCCCGAATCTCGCTTTCTGGTAATTGCGCAAGGGCGTCAGGGCGCCACGGTTGCTATGGACGCCTATCGTCGCAATCTCAGGTTACTTAGAAGAGAACCCAGTTCCTTAGGGCTGGCCAAGTGGCGTTCTTAGTTCAGTCCTTTGTAAAGAAGCACTACCGGGAGAAAAAATTCCAAGTCAGCTGAAGAATTTTGTACTGTGGAACAGACATCTGAATATCGGTTTTCTACTTTGTAGAATGGAAATAGGCTACATCATAAGTGGTTTTGAAGAGTAAATCAGATATCCAGAAAGTTTGGACATAGTAGGTACTTGTTAACTGTGAGCAGTACTCAACCTTGATTCGCATAAGTTTTCAACACATTAATTCACTATTCAGCGAATGTATATTGAGTGCTATGTGCCAGGCTCTGAGAAATCAGGAGGGAAAAAGACAAGGAACCATGCTTTCCAATGGAAGGGGATAAAATACGGTACTCAGAATTCAGTGCTATAGAGATAATAAAGCAGGAAAAGGGATATAGTAGGGCTTGCAGTTTTAAATAGGTGTTAAAAGGGGAGCCTGGGTGGCTCAGTCGGTTAAGCGTCCGACTTCGGCTCAGGTCGTCATCTCTCAGTCCGTGAGTTTGAGCCCCACGTCGGGCTCTGGGCTGATGGCTCAGAGCCTGGAGCTTGCTTCCAATTCTGTGTCTCCCGCTCTCTCTGCCCCTCCCCCGTTCATGCTCTGTCTCTCTCCGTCTCAAAAATAAATTAAAAAAAAAAAAATAAATAAATAAATAAAAGACATCACTGAAAAGACACTGCCAAAAAAAAAAAAAAGCCACTGTAGAGTTTTCAGCAAAGTAATGTGATCTGATTGCTTTAAAGTTCACTATGGCCCTTTACATTGACAGCAGTATAGACTTAAAGGGGCAAGAAAAAAATCAAGGCCTGTGAAAGAATTATTGCAGTAAGCTATGTAAGGTGGTATCATTTTGGCTTCTAGCCAATAAGATTTACTGACAGACTGGATATGGGTTGTGGGGGGAGGAAAAACAAAACAGTAATTCCAAGGTTTTGAGCTGGAGCATTTGTTGTTTCTAAGAGTTGCGAATATTCAGAGTTGAAAAAGGCAGCAGAATATCAACACTCATAATTTAGTCAAGGTAATGTAAAGGTTGAGTTCTTGCTCTGGATCTAGACTGCCTGCATTTGAGTACTGGCCCCACAAATATTCAATCACTAGATTTATTACTTGGGCAAAGTATTTACCTTTTGGTTTCTAGTTTCCAACTATTCATTGGGTTGCTGCAAGTCTTAAGTGACTTCACATTTCCAAAACCCTTAGAATAGGGTCTGACAGTGCTGTTTGTCATTGCGTAACTATTACTGGTCTCCTTCCAGCTCTTTGTCACTTGGGTTTTTATTGAGCTCTGATATGTTCATAGGCAAACTTCTCATACATTACACAAACACACCATCTTTACCATTGTCTCTTAATTGTGTCAAGTCATACCTAATAATATATGGGAATCACAGAATTTAAAGTTCCCTCAAAGTTCCCTCACTTTAATAGTAATTTAACCTCACTTGTAGTAGCAATAAGCTAAGTAGTGAGCTAAATGTGATGATACACCTGTGAGGCTAGAGGCTCCGAAGTATATCATGGTATATGAATTGATGATCACATTATACTATGCTGTTGACAAGTTAATTCCTATCTGGGGACATTTTAAGTAGGGTAAAAAGGCAGTTGTTTAGGTCATATTCTGGGTTCATTAGGTCACTGTAGGCATAAAATACCTTTTGTCATCTGTATAGCATTATACAGTTTAGAAAGCACTTGTACCCATTAGCAAAAGCCAGCTTTCATGGTGGCCCCAATGAATCTTCCATTCTGTATCAATGCGCTTGTGCAGTCTCCTCTGACAGTGAAACAGGCTGTTCTGTGTGACCTGTAGAATATGACAGAAGTGAGTGTTGTAACTTTTCAGTCTGGATCATAAAAGGCATTGCTCTGCCTGCCTTGCAAGCATAGATCATTTGCTCTGGGGTAAGTCAGCCACCGTATCATGAATTCAATCAGGTAGCCCTGTGAAGAGGCCTATGTGGGGAAGAACTGGGGCCTCCCACCAACAGCCAGCATCAACTTGCCAGCCACGTGAATGAGCCACTGGAGGTAGATAATCTAGTTCCAGTCAAGTTTCCAGATAACCTCAGTCCTCGCTGGCATCTGATTGCAGCCTCATGAGAGACACTGAGCACAACTGCCAAACCAAACGTTCCAGAATTCCAGACCCAGAGGAACCATGAGCTATTAGGTGATTATTGTTGTTTTTAGCCACTACATTTTGGGTGTTTAGTCATTAAGTTTTCAATTGCTACAAAGTAATACATAATACACTACTGTGATCCCGCCTATCACACTGTATAGTATTGGAGAGGAAAACTGAAAAACTTGAACAAATTCAGCAATTTGCTGATGGTTACACATTTTAAGTGCTTCACTCTGAAATGAAAATACAGGCTATTTAAAGCTAAGCCAGAATTCTTTCTATACTATCCTTGTTGGGAACTCATCCTGTGACACCAACTCCCACTGAATATGCCTTTTTGTCATACTTGTGTTCACAGATTCTATAAAAGTGATCTATTTTTTCACTGCAACTTTCATGGTAGGATCTGTAGTAAGGTGAACTTCAGACAGTTCTAGTATGGGGTTCCTGACTGCTGGCCCACAGCAGTACACAAATCACTCTTCATTACTTGAACCCACTCTGTTTCTGAAAGCAAAAAAAAAAAATTGTCCTTGGCTTCCTTTTACTGAAATGAAAAAATTACAGAGAGAAAAAAGAGAATGGTGATATTTTTTAACAAAACTTTCCAAACAGGTTTAAAAAAAAAATCATGAATCATGTTATGAATCACCAGAATAGCTTACTGCTACCACCAAATACCAGTCTCATATTTGATAATTGAGATGGGGGGGCGCCTGGGTGGCGCAGTCGGTTGGGCGTCCGACTTCAGCCAGGTCACGATCTTGCGGTCCGTGAGTTCGAGCCCCGCGTCGGGCTCTGGGCTGATGGCTCAGAGCCTGGAGCCTGTTTCCGATTCTGTGTCTCCCTCTCTCTCTGCCCCTCCCCCGTTCATGCTGTGTCTCTCTCTGTCCCAAAAATAAATAAACGTTGAAAAAAAAAAAAAAAAGATAATTGAGATGGGCAATATTTATATTAGGCCACAACCCTGGAATAGTAAAAAGAAAAAAAAAAGAAAAAGAAAGAAAAAGTAAAGCTTAATTGGCAGGCAACTGAGCGATACTCAACAATTTGACTCGGTCTATTGCCCACTAGCTACCCTTACTATTAAGGATGACTTCTTTAAAGCATATTCTAGAAATCATTCAAGGTATGGAAGAAAATTTATTTAGCTTTGTGAGGCTTTAGTTTCACAATAATACATACCCTTGGCATTGTAAGACCTTATTAAAGTTTCATAAATTGCCTTAATAAGGTAAATATCTAGGTCGATTTTAAGAGGCTTTCAGACATTAAGTTTGAGAAAGTTAGTGGTTATCAGAATTTGCACACATGATGACAATCAAAACAGTAAAATAAATCAAAGAATAAGACTTTCTTAACACCCCTAATAACATAGTAAGTTGCAGTTTCTACTCAATGTTATATGTTTCTATGTTAAATTCATTTTCTTCTGAATGTAGGTTACAAATACTCTTTTGTATTAACTCCCAGTTTTACTACCACAAAGTCACCTGTTTTACCTTGGCTGTATTTTTATTATTTAGTGTAGGGTATGGTTTTTAAACTAGTTATACTCCAGTAATTTTGTGAATGGAAAAATATAAAGAAAATTAAGAACAAATAATGGAGTCATTCTTTCACTGATCCTCATCCAACTTCAGGAAAATCACTTCCCAAAAGCAACAATTCTATCTGATAAATCTTTCCATGTCTTAAAAAGAAACCGAGGGGCGCCTGGGTGGCTCAGTAGGTTAAACTCCTGACTCTTGATTTCGGCTCAGGTCATGATTTCATGGTCATGAGACTGAGCCCCACATCAGGCTCCACACTGAGCTTGGAGCCTGCTGAAGATTCTCTCCCTCTGCCACTCCCCGAGTTACGTATGTGCTGGGGAGGGGAGGGGAGGGAAGGGGAGGGGAGGAAGGAAGGAAGGAAACTGAAACAAAAGTGAAATTATGGGAAACCTATGACAGTTTACTAGATATTGTGTGCTTTTAATAGCTCAACATTGATAATACTTGATAATCAAGAGTAAATTAATAGGCTACATTTAAAAATGTATACTTTAATAAGTATATAAACAATTAGGTAAGCTTGTGGAGAAGCTGACCAACATACATATATTAGGAGATACAAGTGTCCATCTAAATTTTCTATTTCATTTTTTTTAACAGAATATTTATTCAAGTTGTTTAATGTAGCTTATCATGTGCCACTTTGGAAGTCCTTTATTGTAAAGACTATTCCTTTGATGGCAAACAGCAGCCACACTGTCAGTGACTATTCCGGACCTCCACGCTGAAAAGGAAAAAATAAAGCAAAAAGATTAGGTTTAAATTTACAGAAGAAATCTTTTCATGGACATTATATAAATTTACACCATTTTAAGCAAATGATCATCAGGTGTTCAATAACAATTTCGGTTTTTCATTGCTCTTAGGCACTTGTATCAATGTTGTAAACAATTTCTGATCAGGAAGGAACTCAAGGTTGACCTTGATTGGTGATGCTCAAATTTCTTGGCCCCATAAGCCCTTCACATTGAAAAATTACCAAGGACTCTACTGAGCTTTTTTTCATGTGGTTATAGCTATTGCTACTTAACATATTATACTTCTACATATATATTCCTTCAGGTACTTTTACTGAGGGCTTGTACATGGTTTATTTCTCATAACCCTGTGCTACCTGACTATCTTGGTCTTAGCTATGGACCCACTGTGACAAGGAATGGAAAGAACAAGCATATGAAATTCCAAAAGCCAAAAATGTTCAGGTGTTTTGCACAGTACTATGATAAAGAGCGATGACATACTTGGATAAATTCCATTTCTTCTTGAGACACAAGCTTCCTTCTGTATTTCTGAGGTAATGTTTTTATTATTTCTGCAGTGTCTGGAGGACCCTGATGCATCAGCAAATCCGGTGATTTACTTCCCTTAGAATGCTGTGAAATTGAAGAAGAGTGAGATGGTAGTCCTGCTGATCTCAAAACTTCTGATACTGAAAAAAAAATGTAATTAGAGAAATAAATTGCTCAGGTGTCTTAAAATACTATTTTGAATGATCTACTATTGAGTAATCAAGTCATTCTTCAAATGCTGGGTATAATCCTAAAATGTATTATTGAGTAGCTATAAATTGGGTAGCTATAAATAATTTCAAAAAGTTCTTTTTAAAACAAATAAGGAAGAAGCTTTAAGTTAATGAATTACTAAACTGAACAAGTTTATAAAATATTAAATTTCTAGGTAGTAAAGTATAACCCATATGAATAATCTACACACTTAAGTTTTGTCATATGGTGGTGTTTACAGGTAATATAATAGGCAATAAGAAAGTTGGTATATGAAGAGAAGTTTTCTCAATACCTTTATACTTCTTTATTCACCTATATATTTTTTAATGTTTATATATTTTGGGGGGGGGGTGCATGAGCAGGGGAGGGGCAGAGAGAGATGGGACAGAGGATCTGAAGTGGGGTCTGAGCTGATAGCAGAGAGCCCGATGTGGGGCTCGAGATCATGAACTGTGAGATCATGACCTGAGCTGAAGTCAGACACGTAACTGACTGAGCCACTCAGGTGCCCCCTTTATCACCTATATCTTAATTCTTTAAGAGTTACAATAAATTAGGGGCATCTGGGTGGCTCAGTCGGTTAAACCTACAAAATCGGCTCAGGTCATGATCCTACGGTTTATGGGTTCGAGCCCTGCCTTGAGCTCTGTGCTGACAGCTAGGAGCCTGGAGCCTACTTTGATTCTTTGTCTCCTTCTCACTCTGCCCCTCCCCCATTCACACTCTCTCTCTCTCAAAAATGAATAAACATTAGGGGGCGCCTGGGTGGCGCAGTCGGTTAAGCGTCCGACCTCAGCCAGGTCACGATCTCCCGGTCCGGGAGTTCGAGCCCCGCGTCGGGCTCTGGGCTGATGGCTCAGAGCCTGGAGCCTGTTTCCAATTTTGTGTCTCCCTCTCTCTCTGCCCCTCCCCCGTTCATGCTGTGTCTCTCTCTGTCCCAAAAATAAATAAACGTTGAAAAAAAAAAAAAAAGGTTTAAAAAAAAATGAATAAACATTAAAAAAAAAAAGTTACAATAAGTTAAATTAAAAATATCCCTATAAAACTTCTTCCACTCCTCCCTGAATTAAAGATTAAATATCTTATAATAAAAACAGGGACAATCATAATGATCAATGAGTAATGTATAGAATTGTTGAATATATTGTACATTGTAACTTAACTATACTGGAATTAATTAAAAACAACAGAGACAAAGGATTTGCTAAAAGTGAGGGATAAGGGGAAAACAGGACTTGTTCAGAATCTTCAATTACTTTATAATCAATGATTACTCAGGTCTAAGGCAGTCTGTATCTACTGACTGAATGAATATATCAGTCAATGAAAGAAAAGGTTAGCTGGGAGAAAAATATAAGAATGGCTACTGTGCCTCACAACCTCTCCAATGTAAGCATGAGAGAATCTTTTTTTTTTTTCAACGTTTTTTATTTATTTTTGGGACAGAGAGAGAGACAGCGCATGAACGGGGGAGGGGCAGAGAGAGAGGGAGACACAGAATCGGAAACAGGCTCCAGGCTCCGAGCCATCAGCCCAGAGCCTGACGCGGGGCTCGAACTCATGGACCGCGAGATCGTGACCTGGCTGAAGTCGGACGCTTAACCGACTGCGCCACCCAGGCGCCCCGAGAGAATCTTTTAAATAAAGGGCAGAAGAAAACAAAGAACAAAAATTTCCCTGTATAATCACAATATCATTAAAAATTCAGAGACAGGGGCGCCTGGGTGGCTCCGTGGGTTAAGCGTCCGACTTTGGCGCAGGTCATGATCTCACGGTCTGTGAGTTCGAGCCCCGCATCGGGATTTGTGCTGACAGATCAGAGCTTGGAGCCCGCTTTGGATTCTGTGTCTCCCTCTCTCTCTGCCCCTCCCCTGTTCATGATCTGTCTCTCTCTGTCTCAAAAATAAATAAACATTAAAAAAAAAAAAATTCAGAGACAGGGGTGCCTGGCTGGTTCAGTTGGTGTAGCACGCGACTCTTGATCTCAGGGTTGTGAATTCAAGCCCCACAGTGGGTGTAGAGATTACTTCAAAATAAACTCTTAAAAAAAGTTCAAAGACATATTCTGTTGAGTCACTACCTTTTTAAATGGAGGTAATAAGTTAATTTCTGCATGTGCAACTTAATAAACTGTTTTGATCTAAGCTATAATGGTCTCCCTGATTTTAAAATGTGAAATAATGCCTATAATAGAATATTCACGTATAAATATATCTGTACCTAATTTTTAAAAAGTCTAAAACACAACTTACCATTGGGTTTAGGATTGTCTCTTCTGTCAGGGAACCTTATTAATGGAGTATGTGGCTTGACTACCTAAAGGAAAAATAAAATATATGGAAAAAAAAAAAAAAGATGAAGCACTAAACTCATTAACTCTATAAAAAAAAACAATGTACTGAACTTCATAGATACCTTTATTAAAACAAAATAACTTAATATTTGACAGCAACTTGAATATTACTATTTTACTCTTCCCCAACTAGGAAAGCTGGTCTATGAACTTTTAATTTATCTTATCTACTCTTCATAATACCTTTGGACTTTACACATTAGAAGACATTTTACTATACTACCAACTGACCTCAAAACAACCCTATGAAAAAAGATGACACAGATTTTATGTTGTATGACATATATTACCCTGCTGCTGGGTAAGAATTAGAAGTGTCCTAACTTGTATTGAATGTTGTTTTCCTACCACGGCCAATTATCTAGCAGTGCAGAACAGGATAAAAAGCATATTGAAAATTAGCTAATTTAGGGTGACTAGGTGGCTCAGTCAGTTGAGTGTCCGACTCTTGATTTTGGCTCAGGTCACGATCTCACAGTTCATGGGATCGTGTGCAGACAGCCTGGAGCTTGCTTGGGATTCCCTCTCTCCCTTTCTCTCTACCCCTCCCCTGCTCATCAGCTAAGTAAATAAATAAACTTAAAAAAAAGAAAGAAAGAAAGAAAATTAGGTAATTTAAAAAAAGCTTTTTCCGACTATAAAGTAACACATGCTCTGTGTAAAAACTTTGGAAGAAATGGTGAAAAGCCACAAATAAGAAAACACAGTCTATAATCCCCAAACCCACAAAGACCAAATTAAACATTTGTTGGCCCTTTTAGTCTTTTTTCTAAACCCATAGAAACACGTATTTGCGAATATTATTTTTATTTATTCATTCATTTATTGTAATTTATTTTAATGTTTATTTTTTTTTGAGAGAGAGAGAGAGAGAGACAGACAAAGAGTGTGAGTGGGGGAGGGGCAGAGAGAGAGGGAGACAGAATATGAAGCAGGCTCCACCCACTGAGCTGTCAGCACAGAGCTCTACGTGGGGCTAGACCTCACAAACTGCAAGATCGTGACCTGAGACAAAGTCACACTGAGCCACCCAGGCACCCCTTGATTTTAAAACAGATATTTGCACGGACTTCAAGCTGTATTACAAAGCTGTAATCATCAAGACAGTATGGTACTGGCACAAAAACAGACACTCAGATCACTGGAACAGAATAAAGAACCCAGAAATAGACCCACAAACGTATGGGCAACTAATCTTTGACAAAGCAGGAAAGAATATCCAATGGAATAAAAACAGTCTCTTCAGCAAGTGGTGCTGGGAAAACTGGACAGAGACATGCATAAGAATGAACCTGGACCACTTTCTTACACCATACACAAAAATAAATTCAAAATGGATGAAAGACCTCAATGTAAGACAGAAAGCCATCAAAATCCTCAAGGAGAAAGCAGGCAAAAACCTCTTTGATCTTGGCCTCAGCAACTTCTTACTCACCATGTCACCGGAGGCAAGGGAAACAAAAGCAAAACTGAACTACTGGGACCTCATCAAAATAAAAAGCTTCTGCACAGAGAAGGAAACAATCAGCAAAACTAAAAGGCAAATGACAGAATGGAAGAAGATATTTGCAAATGATCTATCAGATAAAGGGTTAGTATCCAAAATCTATAAAGAACTTATCAAACTCAACACCCAAAAAACAAATCATCCAGTGAAGAAATGCGCAAAAGACATGAACAGACACTTCACTAGAGAAGACACCCAGATGGCCAACTGACACATGAAAAAATGCTCAACATCACTCATCATCAGGGAAATATAAATCAAAACAATGAGATACCACCTCACACCCATCAGAAGGGCTAACGTTAACAACTCAGGCAACAACAGATGTTGGCGAGGATGTGGAGAGAGGATCTCTTTTGCACTGCTGGTGGGAATGCAAACTGCTGCAGCCACTCTGGAAAACAGTTGGGAGATTCCTTGGGGCTCCTGGGTGGCTCAGTCAGTTGAGCGTCCGACTTCGACTCAGGTCATGATCTCTCGGTCTGTGAGTTTGAACCCCGTGTCGGGCTCTGTGCTGACAGCTCAGAGCCTGGAGTCTGCTTCGGATTCTGTGTCTCCCTCCCTCTCTGCCCCTTCCCCACTCATGCTGTCTCTCTCTCTCTGTCAAAAATAAATAAGCATTAAAAAAATTTTTTTAAAGAAAATCCCATCAAAAAAAAAGAAAAAACATGGGGCGCCTGGGTGGCGCAGTCGGTTAAGCGTCCGACTTCAGCCAGGTCACGATCTCGCGGTCCGTGAGTTCGAACCCCACGTTGGGCTCTGAGCTGATGGCTCAGAGCCTGGAGCCTGTTTCCGATTCTGTGTCTCCCTCTCTCTCTGACCCTCCCCCGTTCATGCTCTGTCTCTCTCTGTCCCAAAAATAAATAAACGTTGAAAAAAAAAATTATTAAAAAAAAAAAGAAAAAACAGTATGGAAGTTCCTCAAAAAATTAAAAATAGAACTACCCTATGATCCAGCAACTGCACTAGTAAGCATTTATCCAAGGGATACAGGTATGCTGTTTCAAAGGGGCACATGTACCCCAATGTTTGTAGCGGCACTATCAACAATAGCCAAAGTATGGAAAGAGCCCAAATGTCCATCGATGAATGGGTAAAGAAGATGTGGTACATATATATACAACAGACTATTACTCGGCAATCAAAAAGAATGAGATCTTGCCATTTGCAACTACACGGATGAAACCAGAGGGCATTATGGTAAGCAAAATTAGAGAAAGACAAGTATCATATGACTTCATTAATATGAGGAATTTATGATACAAAACAGATGAACACAAGGGAAGGGAAGCAAAAATAATAAAAACAGGGAGGGGAACGAAACATAAGATACTCTTAAATATGGAGAACAAACAGAGGGTTACTGGAAGGGTTGTAGGAGGGGGGATGGGCTAAATGGGTAAGGAGCATTAAAGAATCTACCCCTGTGGGGCGCCTGGGTGGCGCAGTGGGTTAAGCGTCCGACTTCAGCCAGGTCACGATCTCGCGGTCCGGGAGTTCGAGCCCCGCGTCAGGCTCTGGGCTGATGGCTCAGAGCCTGGAGCCTGTTTCCGATTCTGTGTCTCCCTCTCTCTCTGCCCCTCCCCCGTTCATGCTCTGTCTCTCTCTGTCCCAAAAATAAATAAAAACGTTGAAAAAAAAAATTTGAAAAAGAATCTACCCCTGAGATCATTGTTGCACTATATGCTAACTAACTTGGGTGTAAATTTAAAAAATTAAATTAAATTAAATTAATAAAAAAAACCCAGATATTTGCAGGGTATTGCTGTTTTACCCCTAGAATTCTAGATAATGCTGTAGAGGACCTTTCTGTTTTAAGTTTGTTTATTTTGAGAAAGAGAGAGTGCACGAGCATGGGAGGGACAGAGAGACTCCCAAGCAGGCCCTCCTGTGCTATCAGTGCACAGCCCGACGTGGGGCTCAATCTCACAAACCAAGAGATCATGATCTGAGCCGAAATCAAAGTCATATGCTTAACTGAGCCACCTAGGCACCCCTGCTAGAGAGAAACTTAAATGGACCTTTCAGCATGAAATTTTCTGAATATACAATGCTAAGACTCTAATGAACAGTACTATTTTCAACTAAAGTAATCTAGAAGTTGCTCTGTAACTAGTGATATTGAGCTGTATGTTTATCTCCAAAATATTTGTATATATGTACTATATAATACATTTAAAAAATTTTTTTTAAAGTTTGTTTATTTTTGAGAGAGAGACACAGTGAGAGCAGGGGAGGGGCAGAGAGAGAGGGAGACAAAAAAGCTGAAGCAGGCTTGAGGCTCTGAGCTGTCAGCACAGAGCCTGACGCGGGGGTTGAACTCACGAACTGTGAGATCATGACCTGAGCCAAAGTAGGACACCCAACCAACTGAGCCACCCAGGCACCCCACTACATAATATACATTTCATATGAATACGGAAATAAATAGGCTTGTTGGAACTGGCCTGAAAACCCCACTATAATTGTGCTCCTGTGAGAAAATGCTAGAATAGAGTTGTCTCCCTCAGCATAAGTTCACAGTCAAGTCTAATGGTAAAAAACAAAACACTAATGTCACACTGTGTGTCAATCTGTGAGACTGAGCCCCATGGCTGGCTCCATGCTGGGCAAGAAGACTGCTTAGGATTCTCCCTCTCTCTCTTCTCTGCTCATACACATTCTCTCTCTCAAAACAAAACAAAAATGAAACCCAATTCTCCCTCTAGTAACGATTTCTTCCTTTTCATAGCCAATCTTCTTCAAAGAATGTTCTATCCATACGCTATCAACACCCCATTTAAAAGCTTTAAAAATGTTCAACAGCTTTCAGGATAAACTTCAAGCTCATATTTGGCATTCACTAGGCCCATCCTGATCTGCCTCTCCCTCCCTCTCCAGCCTCACTTCTCACCTCTGTCTTCTGCATCTTTTACTCCAGGTATTCTGAAGTACTTTTCTGTTCCTAGATCAATAAGCCAATGATTAGAGGACAGCTAATCTCCTGCAAAAGGCAGAGTCAGAGAACTAGCACTTCTGCAGTACTGCCAGGTATGCAGTAAATGTTGAGGAAACATTTGCCAAGTGTGAACAGAGACCATTTGTAAGACAGGACTAACTGTATAGGTATGTGAGTATGTATACATACACTTAAACAATGATACGTACACAAGAGAGAAAAATCCATTTCAACAATGCTTACGCACACTTAAAAATATGACATCATATGCCCTTAGAGATTAAATTGCCAGACTGGTGTCCTCTTTGTTTTTTTTTTAAGTTTATTCACTAATTTTGAGACAGAGCACATGCGTATGGGAAAGCAGGGGAGCAGCAGAGAGAGGGAGAGAGAGAATCCCAAGCAATCTACTCAATGTGGACACAGAGCCAGACTTGGGGCTCAAACCCATGAACTGCAAGATCACAACCTGAACTGAAATCAAGAACTGGATGCTTAACTGACTGAGCTGCTAGGTGCCCCTGGTGTCCCCCCCCTTTTTTTTTTTAATTTTTTTTCAACGTTTATTTATTTTGGGGACAGAGAGAGACCGAGCATGAACGGGGGAGGAAACAGGCTCCAGGCTCTGAGCCATCAGCCCAGAGCCTGACGCGGGGCTCGAACTCACGGACCACGAGATCGTGCCCTGGCTGAAGTCGAGTGTCCCCTTTTTTAAAAGGCATTTTCCTAAATATATGGGTAGAGCCAGTACTGTAATAAACAAAAAATGAAATAAACCTTGATAAACACATTACACAATTTCAACAGCAACAGAGACAATCTTAATTCATCACCCCTTCCTCCATTAAACAAATCCCAACCCTCTCCTCTAACCTGTTAATACCTTCCATATGTATCACTAACATAAAAAGACTTTTGTCAAACCATAATATCTACACATTTTACCACAATAAATTAAAAATAGTTCTTTACTATCATCTAATACTTAACTTATACTCAAATTTTCCTCTCAGAATCTGCTTTTTATTTATTTTAAATTAAAAAAAAATTTTTTTTTAAGTAGGCTTCATGCTCAGTGCACAGCCTGAACCCACAACCCTGAGATCAACACTTGAGGTGAGATCAAGAACTGGACGTTTAACTGACTGAGCCACCCAGACACCTCAATATTTACTTAAAAAAATTTTTTTGGGGGGGCGCCTGGGTGGCTCAGTCGGTTGAGCGTCCGACTTCAGCTCAGGTCATGCTCTCATGGTTCGTGAGTTCGAGCCTCGCAGCGGGCTCTGGGCTGATGGCTCAGAACCTGGAGCCTGCTTCCGATTCTGTGTCTCCTTCTCTCTCTGCCCCTCCCCCATTCATGCTCTGTCTCTGTCTCAAAAATAAATAAAAATGTTAAAAAAAAATTAAAAAAAAATTTTTTTTTTAAATGTTTATTCATTTGTGAAAGAGAGAGAGACAGAGACAGAGCATGAATTGGAAAGGGACAGAGGGAGACACAGAATCTGAAGCAGGCTCCAGGCTCAGCTGTCAGCACAGAGACGTGGTTCAAACTCATGAACCATGACATCATGACCTGAGCCAAATCTGGACGCTCAAATGACTGAGCCATGGAGGCGCCCCAAAATTTGCTTTTGAACTCTAAAGGTAGGGGCATGTGGATGGCTCAATTGGTTAAGAGTCTGACTTTGGCTCCAGTCATGATCTCATGCTTTTGAGAGTTCGAGCCCCACATCAGGCTCTCTGCTGTCAGCACAGAACCACTTCAGATCCTGTCTCCCTCTCTCTGCCCCTGCCCTACTCACTTTTCCTCTCTCTCTCAAAAATAAACAAACATTAAAAAAATGTTTAGACTCTAAATGTAAACACAAAGAAGCAATTCCTTTTTTTTTTTTTAATTTTTTTTTTCAACCTTTATTTATTTTTGGGACAGAGAGAGACAGAGCATGAACGGGGGAGGGGCACAGAGAGACGGAGACACAGAATCGGAAACAGGCTCCAGGCTCTGAGCCATCAGCCCAGAGCCTGACGCGGGGCTCGAACTCACGGACGGCAAGATCGTGACCTGGCTGAAGTCGGACGCTTAACCGACTGCGCCACCCAGGCGCCCCAGCAATTCCTTTTTTTTAAATGTTTATTTTGAGGGAGAGAGAGAGTGTGTGCAGGTGCTTGTACAGGTGTGCGTGCAGAAGACAGGCAGAGAGAGAGGGAGATAGAGGATCCAAAGCAGGTTCTACACTGTCAGTGAGTCTGATGTGAGGCTCAGATTTACGAACCTTGAGACCACGACCTGAGCCAAAGTCGGCACTTAACCAACTGGGCCACCCAGGCACCCCCAAAGAAGCAATTCTACCTGTGTATCAGTTGGGTAACATAACTAAGGGGGGAAAAAAGGAACTAATCCAAATAACTTTCATAGTACTTATACTCTGTACTTTCATCTAAAGGCAATGATAATAATAAATACAGTACTAAGAAAACTTGAACTTTTTACTTAATATGGTGTTGGTAGCTGTATAAATATAGCAATTTTGAAACCATTTTGAATCTATTGTAGGACTCACCAAATGAGTACATATATTTACAGTGATATTTGGAGGAACCAGGGATTTGCCTGTGAGAGAAAGTTTGACTGAGCCACCCAGGCGCCCCTATAACTTATTCTACTAAAATTATCTCTGAATACCTTATAGTTGAGCCAAATTTCTCTACTTAATATTGACACCATGCCTTATGAATTCCCATCAGTTTGTGCTAGTTTGTTGAAATACTACTCTTTCTTTAAGGTATGAATTAAGAGCCAAATTCTAAGTTCTATGGAGGCACCATGTCTGGCTTGTTGGTGCTATAGTCTCAGCACTGAGTACAGACCTGACACAGAAGTACTCAATAAATTTTGCTAAGGTTATATGTAATTATTGCATAATGTTAGCAAAAACCACTTTGTATTATGAATACGAGTACAAGTCTTTGCAGCTCTTTTACAGGAAGACAGACCATTCCTTACTGTGCATCTCACAGTATCTTTTTTTCTTCCTTATCAGTAGTTAGTAGTTCATTACTGTGTACTATTCCATTTTAATAAATCTACCACAATCTGTTTATCCTCCTAATGGACATTTGGATTTTTTCTGGTTTGGGGGTCATTATGGCATAAAGTGGCTACAGACATTTTTATCTAAGTCTCTTTGTAGGTATACGCACTCATTTCTCTTGGGTATAAACCTATAAGTAAAACTGCATCATAGGGAAGCTATATTTAATTACTGGAGACTAACAAGTTTTCCAGAGTGGCTATTCCATTTATACCCTTAACAACAATGGATGAGGGTTTCAGATGCTTCACACTGTCATCAGTACTTTTGGTACTGACAGTTTTTAAACTCTGAATAATTTTGGTAGATGTAGTAGTACCTCCTGGTTTTAATTTGTATTTTCCTGGTAAGCAATGAAGTTCAACATCTTTTCACAGACTTGTGTATCTTCTTTTGTGCCATTTCAACTTTTTAACCCATTTTAAAATTGAGCTATGTATTATGAACATGTATGGTTATACATTACGGATACCAACCAGTCCTCTGTCCAATGTTCTCCTAATCCTCATATTATCTTTAATTAGTTAATGCTTAATATCTACCTACTGAATGAGTAACAGAATCATTATGCAATGGGACCAAAGGCTAGGATCTAAGATTATCTTTCTGACTGAAAGAACTTTAAGAAAAGGTCTTTTTAAGACATGTATTTGTACCAAGGGAAATGCACTTCTTATACCAAAGTTAAAAACCATACAAGTACACTTCCAGAATTTAAAAGAGATTGTGTAAAACAGCCACAAAAGTGGAGGTTGTGTCCCTTTATATACCAACTTTACCTGTCCTATTTAAGTTAGCGATCACAACTGAAGAAGCAAATACAAAAGCTACCAGGAGTTAATTATTGATGTGTGGATTAACAAAGTTCCTCTAGCTACCAATACAAACTCAGGGCAAAAACAAACAAACAAACAAAAACCCAAAACTTGGGTAACAACAAAACATGTATTACAAACAAACTTAAATAATATATATTTCCCCCCCTCCAATTGTCCCCATCCAGCCTGCAACCAGACGCTCGGATTGGTGAGGGAGAATACGCCTGGGGTGAGGACTCCGCCCGCGGGGCCAGTTCTCTGGCCATTCCCAAGACCTTGAAGGGACACCGGGTCAGATGCACGGTTCGCTTCCTTCCACGCGCCGTTACTGCCTTCCTTCCGATTGGTTGATGCGGGACACCGCAGACAATACTAGACGCCGATTGGCCGAGACTATTGCCTGGGCAGCCTAGCCCGCAGACTCCTCTAGGAGGGCTACTGAGGTCCTGGCAGGATACAGTCCAGGGACCGCGCAGCAGCTCTTTGCCTACGTGCTCATACACAGCACTCCCGCGGCCTGGCTCGAACCCTCGGCTTTGGTCTCCGGCTCACTGCCCGACTCATTGGGTTCTAGGTCCAATTTTCACACATATAGTCGGGCGGTGCCGCTGGCCCTACCCAGGGCCGCGGTCACCGCGCAGCCTCCGCCACCGCCTTTTCTTCCCAGCGCCTTTGCTATAATCAGCACCATCCCTACCGCCCGCGGTGCGGAAAAGTGACCAAATTTCCTTACCTGAACGACCCTGCTGGCAGACGCCATCTTGCTGCCCATCATGACCCCGAGATGGGGCAGCTTCCGGGGCGCTTGCTAGCCGCAGAGATAACAGGAGACCTGGGCAGCTGGGGGGCGGGGCCTGCCTGTGGCGTCATGGAGGAGGGGCGAGCGTGCGCTCGCGCCGGATCCTCCTCCACTGCGTAGGCAGCCCACGCTGGGCGCCGACCCGCCCCGCCTCAATTCACGCTTAGGAACTGCCCCACGTGCTTTCCATTGTTTTGTTTTGCCCGCGAAGGTTTGTGATGTTGGGTTTGTTTTGCTCACCAGCTTATGAGTAAATTAGGGCCATTTCCTTTCCAGATAGCCAGTTTGTATTTTAAGTAGAATCCAAAATTTAGTCTAAAACCAAATAGGTAATGCAAAGTCATGTGGCGTCCTAAAACTAACAAGTTCTTTAAACTTGGGAGTTAGTGGCAAGCTCAGAAAGAGTAGGCATTTCGAGGTCTATACAAGGCTACCTCTTACTCTCTGCCTTACTGGCGTTACTTGATACGGTTTTGTTTTCTCTGCCATTAGTCCTGATATTAAACTGCTGCCTGATTCCAGTATGAGAACTCAAAAGTTCATTTTTCTTTTTTAATTTTTTTTTTTATTTTTCAGAGAGAGAGAGACAGAGTGTGAGCAGAGGAGGGGCAGAGAGAGACTCCAAAGCAGCTCCAGGTTCTGAGCTGCCAGCACAGATCCCCACCAGCCGTGGAGGGGTGGGCTTGAACCCACCAGCATTGATACCATGACCTGAGCTAGGTTGGCAGCTTCTGAATCTGGGAAGAGTTTTAAAAATACTTTACCAAGCGCCAAAATGGGCCCTTCTAATGAAATTTAAACTATGCTGAAACACTATTTTCACCCATCTAAAGTCAACATACATAATTTGGGTAACACATTCTGGGGCGGCTGTAGGGAAAGAGGCACTCACACACATCATTGGTGGGAGCAAAAGATGGTATTTGAAAACTTACATACTGAATGACTCCAACTATATGACATTTTGGAAAAGGCAAAATTATGGAGACAGTAACAGGATAATTGATTGCCAGGGACAAATAGGCAGAGCACAATGGTTTTTAGGACAGTGAAACTCTTCTATGATACCGTAATGTATGTGTCATTATACATGTTAAAATCCATACAATGTACCACCTTTGAGGGATAATGACATGTTAATATAGGTTCAGTTGTAACAAAGATACCAGGCTAGAAGAAATGGTGTTAGTGGGTAAGGCTGTGAATGTGTAGTAGGAGCAGTAAGTATATAGGAACTCTATTTTCTCTCAATTTTGCAGTTAACCTAAATCCAATAAAAATAAAAATTAAGCCTAAGCCAAAAAAAATGTGTTTTGGGGCACCTGGGTGGCTCAGTTGGTTACGCATCCATGTCTTGACTTTGCCTCAGGTCATGATCTCATGGTTTGTGAGATGGAGCCCTACATCAGGGTCTGCACTGACAGTGCGGAGCCTGCTCGGGATTCTCTCCCTCTCTCTCAAAACAAATAAACTTTATTTTAAAAAATTGTTTTAAGTCACCACTGATGAAACCAGATAATGTGTTCTTAAAGCTCAAAAGTGGTGACTATAGTAGGTAATACTGTATTGTGTAACTGAAATTTGCTAAGTAGAACTTCAAATGTTCTCACCAAAAAAATAAATAAATAAATAAATAAAAGGTAAATATGTGGGGTAATGTGTTAACCCAACTGTGGGAATCTCTTCATGATGTATATCAAATCATGTTGTACATTTAACTATCTTACAACTTTGTCAATGACCTCAATACAGGTAGAAAGCTCAAAAGCAGCAGAAGCTTAGATATCTAGTACAGAGAGAAAAAGCAAGTTTCTATGTACATATCTACATCAGATTCTCATTCCGAAGTCATTTAAAAGACACAGACTTTCTGGGTTACTTTTATAAATAAACATTTTTCATTTTCCTTTATGACTGTGTTTAAGAAATGAATATGGACAAAGAAGTGCCATGATTTAGAGCCTTTATTAAAAAAAAAAACTTTCCAGGGGCACCTGGGTGGCTCTGTCAATTAAGCGTCGACTTCAGCTCAGGTCATTATCTCATGGTTTGTGGGTCCGAACCCCGCAATGGGCTCTGTGCTGACAGTTTGGGGCCTGGAGTCTGCTTCGGATTGTGTCTCCCTCTCTGCCCCTCCCTGCTCATGCTCTCTAAATGAATAAATAAGTAAATAAATAAATATAAACATTAAAAATTTTTATTTTAAAAAAAGTTTTAAAAATAAACTTTCCAGGGCATCTGGGTGGCTCAGTTGGTTGGGCATCCAACTTTGGCCGAGGTCATTATCTCACGGCTCAGGGGTTCAAGCCCTGCGTCAGGCTCTGCACTAACAGCTCCGAGTCTGGAGTCTCCTTTGGATTCTATGTCTCCCTCCCTCTCTACTCCTCCAGGACTTGTGCTCTCTCTCAGAAATAAACATTAAAAAAATAAACTTTCCAACTCCTCACATACACAACAGTTTCCTGGGAATACTTGGTGACAAATTCAGAAAATGTCAAATGCAGTGCAAATTAATGGTCACATTGGTATGGATTTTGTTTGGGGGAGTCAGGAAAATAATGACTTTTCTTTAACGTGGGCTCATTTATTTATTTTTATTATTTTTTTAATGTTTGTTTATTTTTGAGAGAGAGAGACAGAGTGCAAGCGGGGGAGGGGCAGAGAGAGAGAGACATAGAATTCAAAGCAGGAGGTGGGGCTCGAACCCCAGGAAACATGAGATCCTGACTTGAGCTGAACACTTAACTGAGCCACCCAGGTGCCCCCTACTGTGGATTCTTTTCTAAGTGTTGACATTCATACTCCTTCACAGAATTCTCATCCAGCTCACTTCTGGATTAATTCTAGGATGAAGATGATAAAAGTAGTTAAAGTGAAGGCAGCAAATTGCCTTAACCCCCAAATCCTGTCTTCTCTTCCTACTGCCGCTCGGTTTCTATCAGCCACCATCAGATCTGTAATCAAATCATTTGATTACTTACCCCATTCAGACTCTCTGATTTTTGTCTACACCCTCAATTCTATTATTTGACTATTTTCATGGACCTGGAGCACACCAGCTGACTCTACTTCTTGTATTATGTATTCTTCTTCCTTTTTTTTTTTTTATGTTTATTTATTTTGAGAGAGAGAGAGAGAGAGAGAGAGAGAGAGAGAGAGAGTGTGTGTGTGTGTGTGTGTGTGTGTGTGTGTGAGCACGGGAGGAGCAGAGAGAGAGAGGGAGACAGAGAATCCCAAGCAGGCCCCATGGCCTGCACGTGGAGCCAACACAGGGCTCAACCTCATGACTGCAAGATCACTACCTCAGCTGATATCAAGAGTTAGATGCTCAACTGACTGAACCATCCAGGTCTCCCTTGTATTATGTATGTTCTTAACGTTACTATCTCTGGGCCTTTGACTCCTTTCTTGTACGGTATACCCTGTTCCTGATATTGGCTGTAGATCTCTTAGGCAAAACCATGAATAACAGCCTTCTGATGTAATGCAATATGAAGTACCCAGTCACAACTGTAATTTTTCTTGATAAAAAAGTTTGAGAGATGCCTGGGTGGCTCAGTTGGTTAAGCATCCGACTTCAGCTCAGGTCATGATCTCATGGTCTGTGAGTTTGAGCCCCGCGTTGGGCTCTGTGCTGACAGCTCAGAGCCTGGAGCCTGCTTCAGATTCTGTGTCTCCCTCTCTCTCTGCCCCTCCCCGCTCATGCTCTGTCTCTCTCTGTCTCAAAAAGAAATAAAAACATTAAAATTTTTTTTAAAGAAGTTTGAAACTACAAAAAAAATTGAAACTACATTTAGTAAAGCAGATCTAAGTTTTAGTTTAAAGGAATACAGAGGTCAAACAAGCTACGTAAACTACTCGGAAGCAATCAGACAAATCATAATAGAAAATGGTCTACAGGTCAACAGGTTTCTTTAAGTCAGTCGACTGTAAGAAAAATAGGGTGCCAGACATATAATCTCTTGCAGCTACTCAGTTCAATTCAATTATTAAGCCAGTGTAGAGAGAAAACAACCAGAGATAATATGTAAATCTATGGGCATAGTTTGTTCCAATAAAACTTTATTTACAAAAACAGGCAGCTGGTAAGCCACAGTTTGCTGATCTTTAACACGGATCAACCAACCAACCAAAACAACTATGACCACCACCAACCACATTTAAAATCTACATTAACAAAAGCACTGGGTACCTGGGTGGCTCAGTCAGTTAAGAGTCTGACTTCAGTTCAGGTCATGATCTAACACTTTGTGAGTACGAGCCCCCATTGGGCTCTGCTCAGACAGTGCAGAGCCTCCTTGGGACTCTCTGTCTCTCCCTCTCTCTGCTCCTACCCAACTTGCTCTCTCTCTCAAAATAAACAAACTTAAAAAACAAAAAAACAAAAAAACACTGGTCCAAATTTAAAGACTGACAGATGTAAAAGTAAAATATTTGAATCCCCAACTGAGAAAGCTGTTCAGGACACTCTCTAATGCCCTCTTCAGATATGGCCAATGTTAGTAATGCAAAGGGAGAACATAGCAAAGGGCAGAGTCAAGAAAGGAACTTCTTCCAGTGAGCAGCACAAAAGCCTAATCAAAACATGTTCCCTCTCCTTAGGAAGGAGCACCTCCTATCATTTGCCGAGCAGGATTTCAGAATTGCCAACCTTGTCCACTATTGTTTGCTGACTGTGCAAAACAAAAGAATTTGTCTTTTCAGTTTATAGATCTCCAGATCATGAAAAGTCACATCTGGACCCGATGGGAAAGACTATCAAGAGATCCTGAACTTGGAAACTGTTATGACTGGATGACACTATTAACTTTATTTCCTTGGGCAATGTTGTGCCTTTTACATGCACAAGGAAAGTTAATATTTAAGACCAAGATGGCAGACTGTGGTATACTGTACTCTTTCCAGCAGATACCCATTTTCTACCCCCAGCTCTGAAACCTAGCACTCCCTTGCTGTGGGAGTATACTTTCCTGTCTCAGTGATGTCTGGCATGGTGAAGAGAGCCTTGGTGGAAATACCGTACACTTCTAAGTAGAAACTTTAAATGTGCTTCTGCAATTTTGCTTGGTCACATAAACCATGGAATGTTTCATATAGTGAATGCTCCTCATGTCATCTAGCTATCAAACTATGGACCTAAGAGCGTTATCAATGTTTGTTACAATTCAGCACTTCAGGAAAAACTGACTAATGAAATTTCTCTCTCAGAGTTGGACTTTGGAAGGGAACACACAGGATAATAAAATCCCAGGAAAATACAGAAAGTTTTTCAGATGATGATAAGTCTTTCTATCAGGAAGGCATTTTCCAGAATAATGCTTTTCCATAAGAAAAATATAACTTGAGCCAAAATCGTCACTTAGCCAACTAAGCCACCCAGGTGCCTCAATTAGAGTTTTCAAAAAATCAAATGGAGGTCACCTGGGTAGCTCAGTGGCTTGAGAGTCTGATTCTTGATTTCAGCCTGGGCCATGATCTTGTGGTTTGTGAGTTCCAGCCCTGCATCAGGCTCCATGCTGACATTGCAGAGCCTGCTTGGATTCTCTTTCTCTCTGCCCACTCTTTAAAAAAAAACAAAAGGAATGAGATGCTAATGCAAGAGGCCAAGTTCTATTTTTTAGAAGTTTATTTACATGTTTTTTAGTAATCTTTACAACTAATGTGGGGCTTTAACTCATGACCCCAAGACCAAGAGCTGCATGCTTTACTAAGAGCCAGCCAGGTGCCCCAGCAAGTTTTATTTTTTAATAATACAAAGTAACATTTGCTCTTTTTATTATTTAACTTATAAAAGTAATGCATGATATAGAAATACAAAATTTAAAAAGTCACAATTGGGGGATGCCTGGGTGGCTCTGTTGGTTGAGCATTCAACTTCCCACTCATTCTCTCTCTCTCTCATAAATAAACATTAAAACAAAACAAAACAAAACAAAGAGTCACACTTGGGGCTCCCAGGTGGCTCAGTAGTTTGAGCATCTGATTTTGGCTCACGTCATGATCTCACCATTTGTAGAATCAAGTCCCATGTTAGGCTCCATGCTGATACCGAGGAGCCTGCTTAGGATTCTCTCTCTCCCTCTCTTTCTCTGCCCCTCCCCTGCTTGCTTCTCTCTCAAAATAAATAAATGAATGGTTTTTTGTTTTGTTTTGTTTTGTTTTATAAAAAGTCACAATTACTCTACAACAACCACAACAGTTACACTCTGGATATTTTTTTGTTTTATTTTTCAAGGTTGAGGTGCTTTATTTGCATCTCTATTTAAAGATGTTGATGGGGTGTCGGGGACTTGGGGAGATGTTGGTCACAGGGCACAAACATGCAGTTAGAAGATGGGTAAGTTTTTGGAAATCTGACGCACAGCATTAGTGGGTGGTTATAGTGGTTACAATTAACAATACTCTATTATATACTTCAAAGTTGCTAAGAGACTAGATCTTAAATGTTCTCACCACAGAAAAAAGAAATAATTATGTAACACGATGAAGATGTTAGCTAATGCCATGGTGGTCAAATCAGCCCCCTGTACACCTTCAACTTACACAATGTTTTGTCAATGTTATCTGTGTATTAAAAAAAAGAGAGAAAAAAGAATCTGTGGGGAGATAAATATAAAATGAGATTTATCTGAATAAAATACAACTTAGAGTTGGAAAAAAACCCAAGAAGTGGATATCATTTTCTAATATTTCTAATATTTTAGTTGACTGACAGATGCACAGAAATATTCCAAATGATGGTGGTTGGGAGGATGGGCTAAATGGGTGATGAGTATTAAAGTGGACACTTGTGATGAACATTGGATGTTGTATGTAAATGATAAATCACTAAATTTTACTCCTGAAATTAATATTACACTGTGTGTTAACAAACTAGAATTTAAATAAAAACTTGAAACTACAGAAAGAAAGAAAGAAAGAAAGAAAGAAAGAAAGAAAGAAAGAAAGAAAGAAGAAAGAAATTCCAAATGACAGTTGGGATTGCCAGGAATGTTGTAAAAAAATGCCTACATTGAGTGGAAAGCTAGATTAGATGTCTTTTGGGAAGGAACTTTGCAAGACTAAAATCTTCAGATTCTTTTGGAGTATGCCAGTCACTTTAATTATCATATTTAAAACAATAGATTCCATATTATAGTGTTAAGTTACAAAAAATTTGCAGTATTAGAATAGTTCCAAAAACACTAAAAAAAATTACTTGAAATATGCTATTTAAATGATATATGAAAGATGGAAACAAAAGATAATAAAACAGAAATTCTTATTTGATCATGGTGAGATTCTTCTCAAGCTGTAGAACAATTTCCTTAAAGGCAGAATCCTCTGCCCAGTTGGCTTTACTTCCTAAAATGAGGTTCTGTAATTAAAAAAAAAAAGAAGAAAATTTTTACATTAAATTTTTAAGTACTTTTGAAAATTTAACAAGCTTTTTAAAAATCTGCTTTCAACGATGTTTTGAAATATTTACCAAACTAGGTGTCAGCATTTACTCTATGAAAAAAATACATTCTTGTATATTAATTTCCACTTTAAGTAAGACTTCGGCCTTGATCCCCATAATGCTAAGGAATATTTACAATGTTTATAACAAACTTTTCTGCTTCATCAGTTTTGTGGATAGTTTTTACCTGCTAAGGAGTTTTACAATGGTATTCTAGATTAAAGGAAAAAGACTGCAGCTCCGATTCAGAGTCATTTTGCACTTCTACAGTGAAAAATAGCTTAAGCATAAACTGTTATGCCCTATTTATTATTTTAAAACTATGGCTCAGTGATAGCAAGTTACTAATTGAAATCCTGTTAAAACAGATTTTAGAATATAAATGTGATATTGTTTTGTACAGAATTATAAAACTTGGTCTATCTATAGTATTTTCTTGCTCTTGGGCTAGTGTTTATAAATCCAATTAAATTACAAAGGCAAGTGGAAGTAAGCATTCAAATAGAAGTAAACCCATTAGGGGCAGGAGCTCCTAAGGTAGCCACAACTATGTTCTGCTTAACAAAGCAATGATTTCATTAAATAAGACTTAATTAAGAGTATATGAATAAACTTAAGAAAAGCAAAATAACAGAAGACTCAATGTAGTAGGAAGGAACATGTACCCCAAAAAATTAAAATAATCCTGTCCTTATAATGCAATCCTCCACTTGAGGATAGCCTAAGGGACTTCCTTAACTCCTAATCAAGTAACCCACTGTTACTAAAACGTAGGTTTAAGACCGGAGGACAAATTTCTTATGCTCAGATACAAGAACTCATATTCTACAAGGATATGCTTTAAACATAATAAGCATTTGCTTTGACACATAATAGGCAGTTAATAAAGGAACACATAAAATTTAAGAGGTGAAAAAAGTTTTTAATAGGTGACATGATAATAACTACCAACACTTATTGAGAATTTAGTTTAGCCAGACATTATACTAAACAGATTAACATGAATTATCGTCTTCAGTTTTCACAACCTCTCTTTCTAAACAGGGAAACTGATGTTTAAAAAACCTTAAATTATTTGTTCAAGGTCCAGAACTATTAAGCTGCAGTCAGTATCGTAATTCTAGATTCCCATCACCCCCATCCATGTTTTCCCCATTCTCCCTAGTTCAAGTCTAATGGTCTCCACCATTATACCATTCTGCCTTCACGGAGCTGCTAAAATCATTCCACTTGTATGTAAGTGCCTAAGATTAAACATAATAAAAAAATCAAAGCCTTAAGTATTAAATACACATAAATTCCAAAAATATGTAAGCAGACTAGTATATAGTATTAAATTCATGATTTTTTCAGGGTCAAAGACTAACTGAAAGCAAATCTGAAAATAAGAGAAACAATCATTTTTAAAAAGTTCTTTACCTCCTTTCCTAATTTATATAAATGTTACCTGGAACACATGTTGAATCACTGTAGTAACTTGTATCTCCGTCTGTAGGTTTTGTTGTACGGTCTTTATCTTGTCTGAATTTTCCATAATGGCCAAATCATCTTTCTGTTTGTTCTTTTCAGTCTGTATTTCTAAAAGCTTACTTTCTGAAGCTTGTTTTAATTCTATTAGGTTAAAAATAAAAACAAAAAAACACTACATATTAACAACTACAAACAAGAATCCTGAAAAACTGTGAAGCAGAACAGTTCCTGTCTATTTCAGTCAAGAGAAAATATGTAATAAGCATCATTTTAGGGTGCAGTTCCATTTTGATCTGAAAATGACTTTTGTGCTACAAAATACCAATATTTTAATTTTACACTTAGCAATGTCCTCCATGAAATGTTCACAGTATGTATGTATGACAACGATGGCTGTCTACATATATTTGAAGGGGCATCAAGTTAAGTGGACTTCTACTGGGCTGCCAAAAGAATAGACAGAGATATACATGAAGAAATATTTTTGCCTCCTTTATTTACATAAATGACATAGCAACAAGATAAATTTTCACCGAAAAGATTCTCTTCTCCAGAGATAAAAATATCAGCAACCTTTTAGTGTAGTTCCTGAAATGTTCTAAGAATTAAACGATTTGAAAACATAAATGGGTGTGTCCCAGGAGCTTGGTTCCTTGACATTAATGGATCAAAAGTAGGTTGGGATCAATGGAAAAAACATTAAACATCCAAAGGATGATTAGATCAGATGACCAAGACTACTTCTGACCCTGAGATAACTTACAAACAGGCAAATTTGTGTGATGTTTAAAAATAAATTATGCCTATACTATTAAGTGAAAAAGGCAGTTTACAACATGGAATAAAATGAGGCCTACTTTGATAAGAAATAAGCACTGAAGATGATTATCTCTTGATAGTTTACTTTTCCTAAGTATACTTTTCTGTTTCTAAATTCTGAAAATGTGTATTACTTTTGAAATAAACATTTCAATAACTTTAATACAAAAAGCCATCTCATTCATGTTCATTAAGTTAAAAAGCTGTAGAATCATATGTATCAACCGATCATTTAAAATAAAGTATTTGTATATTGGGGCGCCTGGGTGGCGCAGTCGGTTAAGCGTCCGACTTCAGCCAGGTCACGATCTCGCGGTCCGTGAGTTTGAGCCCCGCGTCGGGCTCTGGGCTGATGGCTCAGAGCCTGGAGCCTGTTTCCGATTCTGTGTCTCCCTCTCTCTCTGCCCCTCCCCTGTTCATGCTCTGTCTCTCTCTGTCCCAAAAATAAATAAACGTTGAAAAAAAATTTTTTTTTAATAATGTATATGTATATTAAAAAATTAAGTACATATTAATATGTTTATATGAGCAGGGAAAAATGCTGGAATGATATATGCTCAACTGTGGTCACATAGGAAGGAGGTTATGAATTTCACACTATACTTTTCTGTATCATTTTTTTTTTCCCTGAGAATGTATTAATTTTGTGATTTAATGGTCTAAAACAAAAAAAAAAAAATCAAGCTAAATACACTTTAATACTACTTTTATTTATTTATTTTTTAAGTTTATTTCAATTTATTTATTTTGAGAGATACGGTGTGAAGTAGGTGGAGAGAGAGAGAGAGAGAGAATCCCAAGAAGGCTCTGTACTGTCAGTACAGAGCCCGAGACAGGGCTTGAACTCATGAAACTGTGAGATCATGACCTGAGATCATGACCAAGAGTCAGATGCTTAACCAACTGAGCCACCCAGATGCCCCTGACTACTACTTTTAAAAATGCCATGTGTAGGGGCACCTGAGTGGCTCAATTGGTTGAGCATCCAACTTCAGGGCAGGTCATGGTCTCAAGGTTCCTGAGTTCGAGCCTCATGTCGAGTTCCACATGGACAGATCAGAGCCTGGAGCCTGCTTTGGATTCTCTGACTCCATCTCTTTTCTGCCCCTCTCTCCTGGACTTGCATGCACTCTCTCTTTCTCAAAAGTAAACTAAAATTTTTTTTTTTTAAATGCCATGTGTAAAATTATGAGAAAATTTGAAAGCTAAGAAATTTCTCAATGGCTGAGATAACTGGCCTTATCAATCTCCATAGTAAGTGAAAATGTTTTCTACAAGAAAACAAAACGAAAGCCAAAACAAACTGTTCTACATACGTAATCTCTTCTTTCTAACATCAAGCAGTTTTTCCTCCAAATCCCAAGATTCCTGTTGTTAGAAATAAAGATTAAGGCACATTACCTAAGAACAAACCTGTAACACTTACATCATTGAATTTTATCTATTAGTTCTCCTTTTCCAAACCTCTGTCTAGCTCTCGATCCCTTTATTTCCATACAGAAAAGAGACTAAGGACAGTAGCTTAAATTACAAGTAGATAATTAGCCACAATGTCAGAAATAACTGAGTTATGAAAAAGAGGAAACTTAAGGACTGTGAATTCCAATCATATCAGTAACCTCTCGGAAATCCTATATAACGATACACAATACAGTTGCCAGCATCAAGTTACTGAAATCATGAGAATGTGTAAAGAGCCCAAAGTGCAGTTACCTGCTGTGACTTCATGATTAATTTGTTTAGCTTTAATATGTGTTTCATGTTATCCATGAGCACACTGAAAAGGAATAAAAAATATGACTTGTTAACCTTAATTAAAAATAAAAAAATCTCATTAATGAACACACATCAATTACTATCTATTTCCTTTCATGAAATTTACTGTATACTTTCATAGAAAGTCATCATTTAACAAAATAAACCTGGAAAAGTTTGATATAAACTAAATTTGTATTTAAAATTAAAGATGCAGGGGCGCCTGGGTGGCTCAGTTGGGTCAGGTGTCCAACTCTTGATTTTGGCTCAGGTCATGATCCCGTAGTTCATGGGTTTGAGCCCCATGTCGGGTTCCATGCTGGGTTTGGAGCCTGCTTGGGATTTTCTCCCTCCTCCCTTCCTCCCTTCCTCCCTCTCTCTCTCTACCCCTCTGTCCCTCCTCCTCCCAGGGCCTCCCTAGCCGTCCCCGCCCCCCTCCCCCCTCCCTCCCCCCCCCACAGCAACCCCCCACTGCTCACTCCCTCTCAAAATAAACTAAAAAAAATTACAGATGCAAAAAAAATAATAAAAACAATAAAATTAGAGATGCATTTCCCTAGAAAAATCTGTAATCACAGACAAAAAAATATTAAATTTAAGCATGTATGAATGTTTCTAAAAATCTATTTTGGAGAAAAAGCCCTAATAACTTGCTAATAAGCTGCTTTAAAATAAATACATTTTATTTTTTAGAGCAGTTTTAGGCTGACAGCAAAACTGAAGGAAGGGACCCATTTGCCCCTGCGATGACACAAGCACAGCCTCCTTGACGATCAACATCCCCCAGGATAAAGAAAGATCTGTTCATCACAAATGAATCTACATTTAACACATCATTATCATCCAAAGCACAGTTTACATTATGGTTCACTCTTGGTACTATACATTCTATGGATTTGACAAATGTACAAAGACATGTATCTATCATTATAGCATCAACAAGAATAATTTCACTAAATAAGCTGTGTTTTTACCCTCATGTCTTCAACAAAAACCTGTGTTAGGCACCAGGAATGTAAAGCAGAATAAAACACAGAGAGGAAAAAAATCTGTTGAAAGAGATAAATCAATCCACAACTATAGCACAGTGCCATTACAACCAGCAATAAATATGAACTGCTGAGAGTTAAGCACAGAGTACAACAAGGGAAACCCTGGAATCTTAAAGGACATGAAATAATTACCTAGATCAACTAGTTTGGTATGGCTGGAGCCAAAGGGTATAATGTAAGACTGGGTAAGAACAATGGTTCTTATACTTCAAAGTGCCACAGTCCTTTGTGGATCACCAGATCACCCCCACCACCCTCATTTATCTTCAGAGACTGAGTCAAAAGGTTTGGAATGGGACCAGGAATGTGATCTCTGTGATAATACTAATTGTTCTGATAAACAGCCAGGCATTTGAGAACACTGTAGAAGGAGTTTGTTAAGGAGGCTGAAAATGGGAATCTTTGCAGAGACCTGGGAAAGCTAAGCTCATTTTCTACTAATTATAGCTATACTGGTTTGTAAACTTCAAAACATGCTAAAGGCACTATCACAGCCTACTTGGTCTTTCTGTCCTCTTTGGGTGTCAATATGTCCTGTACCTCTTTAACTCAAGAATGTTTAAAGCTCTCCTTTCAAGGAGGGCCTAAATTCAGATTTTAGGATTTATGAAATCCTGGAGTTAAAGGGAATATGGGAGAATGCATTACCAGTCTGAACTAAGACACCCAAAAAGGGGAAGTGCTCAAATACATCCAGCACTTTTATGGTGCTAATGGTAGGGGATCTTTTATCACAAGATTTTTAGAACAGGTAAGGCCTCTAAGACCAGACACATAGGACAAGATCATAGAGAACCTTGACCGCCAGAGTTTTTATTTTATATTCCTTCGCAAATAGTTTAACACATACAAACTCATTTCTGCCAATGAAGAATGAGGCATATAATTCCTATCTCATCGGGTTACTGGATTAAATGACATTAACCCTGTTCCTGTTTTATAGTAAACACTGAACAAAAATAAACTTCCAAAACCTTCCTTCAAATTTTCAGATTTTCTGGCTAAAAATCTCCATTGCTTCTTAGGGCTGCAATACAAACAAAATATTGGCAGGACTATAAAAAGGATAATGCTGAAGAGGGTGCACAAAACTTCCATCACTTTTCTTATTCCTCAGATATAGGTGGTTGGCATTGATGGTAAATTAAAAAAATGCCCACAAAACTGGGGTGCCTAGGTGGCTCAGTCAGTTAAGCAACCAACTTCAGCTCAGGTCATCGTTTTTGAGTTCGAGCCCCACATTGGGCTGTCTGCTGTCAGCACACAGCCCGAGTTGGATCCTCTGCCTCCCTCTCTCTCTGCACCATGCCCCTCCTGCTCATGCTGTCGCTCTCTTTCTCTCCTTCAAAAATAAATAAAATCATTAAAAAATTTTTTTTCCACAAAAATAAAGTCATTATGCCAATGTCCCTTCTTATTCTCATCCTTAACAAATCCAGAAGAAAAAAAAAAACGTACCTAGTCTGGGGGTTAATTTTCTCCAGGTTTTTTTTAAGTGCAGCCGAAAGTTGCATCCTATAATGCAAGGGAAAAAAGCTTGCATTATAAAACATGGATAACATTTGTGGTACATTGAAAAGAAAAAAATTAAATATTACAAGTTAAAGATTGATTTCCTTTAAATGTAACCTAAACCAAAGTAGTTTTTAAAACACTACTGTAAGGGAAATACTTTGACAAATAAGTTACAGAAGTGAAAATGACAAGATGGCTAGGGCTGTGCACTACTATGCTGAGGGGCTGATGACACTTGAAATCAGCCTGAGGTTTGCTCTCCCAGCCATTCACCTTGGCGAAGGGCCAGCAGGAAGCATTAAGCATTAACACACTACAGAGATTAGCACAGGCCTGAAATGGAGAAAGGGAATATAAAGCCATACTTGAATGTAAACTTTAAAATACACCTATATACAAACAAACTCCATAAATTATTTTTAAATTCAAACAGTTAATAAATAAATAATAATGAAAATGCAATCAACTTAGCAATATTTAGGTCATTTCCTCATGTATGTCACACAAAATAATTTGACTCATTAAAATAAGATCTCTTACTAGTTCTGAAGTCATCTTGAAAAATATGATCTAGGGCACATGGCTGGCTCAGTGGGCAGAGTATGCACTCTTGAATTGGGGTCATGAATACAAGTCCCATGTAGGGCATAGAGCTTACTTAAAATTAACTAATTAATTAAAAAATATATATATGTATATATATATATATATATTATCTATACAATGAGCCAGCTTGAGAAGAGGGAAAAATGTTCACTGCTGGAAATGATTAAGAGGACTTTAACTACTTTTCAATTAAATGTATAAGAAATTCATCTGGGAAGGCCACAAATCTAAGGAAACAATTTAAAGTCATTCATTTAAGTGGAATTATTAATTCAGATCACAAATCTATAAGAAAGCTTATTTACCTTATTCATAGCTGTATACCAACACCTACTATAAAGCTTAAGACATAGTAAGCACTCAAATATTTGTTGAATGAATTTTAAAACATGAATGAATGAATGAATGAATGAATGAATGAATTTTCATATAGGCAAACCTATATGAAAAATATACTTAGGAGCGCCTGGGTGGCTCGGGTAAGCATCCAACTCTTGATTTTTGGCTCAGGTCATGACCTCACAGTTTGTGAGTTTGAGCCCCACTTCAGGCTCTGTGCTGTCAGAGGCGCTGCTTGGGATTCTCAGTCTATCCTCTGCCCTACCCCACTCATGTTCTTTCTCTCAAAAAAATAAACATTAAAAAAAAATTATATATATTTATTTATTTAAACTTGATGACAATTCTTTTACTTGACTAATAGTTAACCGCAGTAATGGAATCTAATAATCCTTTGAAACACTGAATGGGATTTAAGCTCACCCTTCTACTTCCTTGTCTGATATTTCCTTATTAACTGAATCTTATATAACTACTTCTAATGAAGGTATTAATGAATGATGTTAACTTTTCTCTCAGGGCTCAAAATTTGTGTGACCATTATCTGATGATCATTTCACTTGATTAATCATTTAGACTAGTTAAAATATTAACTCTACCTCAAATCATACCGATTTTGCATTCAGTTCACGATGTTTATACCAAAAATTTAATAATTACCTGTGTAATGCAAGCCTTTTTATTTCAAAAGCAGTTTTCACCTCTTCAATTTCATTTTCCAGGTCTTCAATTTTACTATCAAAGAAGCATGAACAAAAGAATTTCAGCAATATAAAAAAAAATTCCCCATTAGAATAAATATATAAAGCAAGCCTTTTAAAAAGTAAAATGACTCTCTCTTGATAAAAATATTCTACAGACCCCCACATTGATGCATTTATAGATTTGATAAACAGATACCTCTGACATACTTTACTAATTATGTTGTAAAGGGGGAATGCCAAAAGGGCTAATGGGATCACTAATGTAACGTAAGAACATACCGTATATCAACAACTTTTCAGTACATGCATGAAAAATTACTTGGAAAAATAAAAGGAAAAAGAAGACAATGGTGTAAGATGGGTAATAGTATCACATCTTAGTAAAAAACAAAATTGAGGGGCACCTGGGTAGCTCCGTCGGTTAAGCCTCCAACTCTTGGTTTCAGCTCAGGTCCTGATCTCACAGGTTGCAGGATCCAGTCCCACATCAGGCTCCATGCTGACAGCATGGAGCCTGAGTGGAATTCTCTCTCTCTCCCTTTCACTCTCTCTGCCCCTCCCCTGCTTGCACTCTCCCTCTCTCTCAAAATAAATAAATAAAAATTAAAAACACACACACACAATTTAAAAATATGACATACGCTTCAATTTGCTTATCTTGCATGATTTGTTCTGGAGTTTTTTCTTCACCTACAAATAAATAATTTTTTGAAGTTAGTAACAGTTTAGAAGAGTGCTGTCCAGGGACATCTGGTGGTTCAGTTGGTTAAGCATCTGACTCTTGATTTAGGCTCAATTCATGATCCCAGGGTCTGGGATCAAACCCTGCATTGAGCTCCATCCACCTTGAGCATGGAGCCTGCTTGGGATTTTCTCTCTCTCTGCCCCACTCCTCTGCTTGCATTCTCTCTAAACAAAGGAACAAACAAAAAGATTCTCTCTCTCTCTCTCCCTCTGCCCCTCTCCCTTCTTCTTCTTCAAAAAAAGTGCTGTCCAACAGAAATATAATGGAAGCCAGAGACTCGAACCAAACATTTAATTTTTTTTTTAAAGTAGGCTCCATGCTAAAATAGAACTACCATACAACTCACAGGTATTTATCCAAGGGATACAGGTATGCTGTTTCGAAGGGGCACATGCACCCTAATATTTATAGCAGAGCTATCAACAATAGCCAAAGTATGGAAAGAGCCCAATGTCCATCGATGGATGAATGGATAAAGAAGATGTGGCATACATATATACATGTATATATACACATACATACAATGGAGTATTACTTGGCGATCAAAAAGAATGAAATCTTGACATTCTCAAGTAGGTGGATGGAACTAGAGGGTATTATACTGCAGAAATTAGTCAAAGAAAGAAAGAAAAATATCGTATGACTTCACTCATATAAGGATTTTAAGATACAAAACAGATGACCATAAGGGAAGGGAATCAAAAATAATAAAAAACAGGGAGGGGGACACAAACATAAGAGACTCTTAAATATGGAGAACAGAGGGTTACTGGAGGGGTTGTGGGAAGGGGGGATGGCCTAAATAGGTAAGGAGCATTAAAGAATCTACTCCTGAAATCATTGTTGCACTATATGCTAACTTGGATGTGAATTTAAAATTAAAAAAAAAAAAAAAAAGTAGGCTCCATGCTGGGCATGGACTTGAACTCATGAACATGAAGCTTGAACTCATGACCCTGAGATCAGGACCTAATTTCAGATCAAGAGTCAGATGCTTAACTGACTGAGCCACCCAGGTGCCCCCCAAAAACTTATTCTTTTACCACCCTCCCAATTTCCCTAAATTTAATTTAAAATTTCTCATTTCCATGTTATAAATCAAGTAAAAATATTTCAGTATAACTTATTTAAACCCAATAGGTCTAAAATATTAGCATTTCAACATGTAATTAATTTAAAATTACTAATGAAATATTTTACAATTTTTTTTCTGTATTTTACATTTATAGCTCCTCCCAAGGACTAATCACATTTCAAGTGCTCAATAGTCACATGGACTAGCGGTTACCATATGGAAGAGGCCGGTTTTAGAATAATGGAGAAAAAAAGGAGTAAAATATTAACATAAGCAATGCAATATCAAAAAAAACATCTCTATGTCTATCTGTTAGCAACAAACAACTAGAAATTAAAAGATAAAATTACGTTGCAAAATTTTTTTCAAAAACATGAAATATTTAAGGATAAATTTAACAAAATATGTACATGAGCTCTACAATGAACACTTGAAAATAATGAAAAGATACATTATATATAGGTTATTAGAAGAATCAATACGGCTAATACAATTTCCCCAGTATGATCTGTAGAGCCCAATCAAATCCCAAACAAAATTCTAATACTTTTTTTTTTTTCTGTAGAAATTGTTAAGCTGGGGATGCCTGGGTGGTTCAGTTGGTTAAGCATCTGACTCTTGGTTTTGGCTTGGTTCAGGATGCATCAGGCTCTGCACTAACAGTTTGGAGTCTGCTTGGGATTCTCTCTCTATCCCTGTCTCTGCCCCTCCCCAGCTCACAATCTCTCTTTTTCTCGCAAAACAAATAAACTTCAAAAAAAAAACAAAGAAAGAAAATGACAAGCTGATTTTAAAATGCATATAGAGGGGCGCCTGGGTGGCTCTGTCGGTTGAGCCTCCAACTTCAGCTCAGGTCATGATCTCATGGTTTGTGAGTTCAAGCCCCACGTCGGGCTCTGTGCTGACAGCTTGGAGCCTGGGGCCTGGAGCCTGCTTCGGATTCTGGGTCTACCTCTCTCTCTGCTCCTCCCCTGCTTGCACTCTGTCTCTCTCTCAAAAATAAATAAAAACAATTAAAAACAATTTTTTTTAATGTTTATTTATTTCTGAGGCAGAGAGAGACAGAGCATGAGTGTGGGAGGGTCAGAGAGAGAGGGAGACACAGAATCAGAAGCAGGCTCCAGGCTCTGAGCTGGTAGCACAGAGCCCGATGCGGGGCCCGAACTCACAAACCGTGAGATGATGACCTGAGCCGAAGTCGGTCGCTTAACCGACGGAGCTACCCAGGCGCCCCAAAAACAATTTTTTTAAATGCATAGAGAAACACAAAGGACCTAGAATAGTCAAACCAATATTGATAAAGAAGAACAACACTAGAAGTCTTACAGTAGTGATATCAAGATTTACTATATAAAGCCACAGTAATGAAGATACTGTGGCATTATTGTAAGCATAGACAAATACCTCAAGGGAACAGAGAAAAGAAACCCAAAATAAACCTACACATAAATAATGGAGAAAGGAAAGTCTTTGAACAAACGGGGCTAGAAAAACTAGATTTCTGTAGGGGAAAAAAACAAAATGAATCTTGATTCTTAGCTCATACCATACAAAAAAAATTAACTCAAAAAGGACCACAGAACTGAATGTTAAATCTAAAACCCAAAGCCTCATAGAACAAAACAAAGGAGAAAATCTTTATGACCTTGGAGTGGTCACAGATTCTCAGGACTTAAAATCATACACCACAAAAGACCAAATAACTTGATAAAAAGCACTGCATCAAATTAATGCCTTTGGTTCCTCAAAAGATAGTTAAAAAACAAGGCAAGCAACAAACTGGGAGAAAATACTTGCTAGTTATATACACAGATACAGTGATTCCTACATATAAATCTATATGTATAGGTGGATACATGAAAAGAAAACCTGCATTTATAAACAAAGAATGCAAATCCAATAACACTAATAATACAATTAAAGGGGGTGCCAGAGTGGCTCAGTCAGTTAAGTGTCTGACTCTGGCTCAGGTCATGACCTCCTGGTTCATAAGATCGAGCCTCATGTCCAGGCTCTGCGCTGACAATGCACAGCCTGGTTGGGATTCACTCTCCCTCTCTGCCCCTCCCCTGCTCGCACTCTCTCTCTCTCAAAATAAATAAACAAAAAATATATTTTTAGAAAGCCTGGAATATCAGACAGACAATACACGAGAACTACCTTCAGATCTATGGACCTATAAAACAAATTGAGCAGAGTCTGAAAAGTTCCTAAGTTCAATCATGTATTCAGGTGAAGTAAGATATCTATGTGGTCCCTCAGGTTTTCCACATTCTTTTTTTTCCGTAAAATTTTTCAAAAGTTTATTTATTAGAGAGAGACAGAGAGAGCATGAGTGGCATAGAGAGAAAGCGGCAGAGAGAGAGGGGCAGAAAGAGAAACATAGAGAGATAAAGAGGGAGAATCCCAAATGGGCTCCGTGCTGATATCCCAATGCAGGGCTGGAACTCACAAAACTGTGAGATCATGATCTGAGCCGAAATCAAGAGTCAGCAGCTTAAACGACTGAGCCATCCAGGTGCCCCTTCAAAACTCTTGATTCAGGCCCTCTGGGTGTCTCAGCTGGTTAACCATCTGAACTTGGCTCAGGTCACGATCTTGTGGTTCGTGGGTTCGGGCCCCACATCAGGCTCAGTGCTGACAGCTCAGAGCCTGGAGCCTACTTCGGATTCTGTCTCCCTGTCTTTCGGCCCATCCCCCTGCCTTCTCCAGCTCATGCTCTCTCTCTCTTTCAAAAATAAACAAACGTTAAAAAAAAACCAAAAAAACAAAACTCTTGATTCAACCTAAAGTATCAATTGGTTTTATTCCTTAAGCCCATTTCACAGAGAAAGAAAGATTTACCAAAACCTATCTTTGTAAGCCAAGGGCTTACAAATCAGGTGGCAAGAATGGTTAGTACTTCAGGAGAGCTAAACTATTATTTTAGTAATCTCTTGCTGGCTAAGACTTCTGGATTAATGGTTTTAAAAGATAACTTTAAATTTGTTCAATGTTGGGGCGCCTGGGTGGCTCAGTTGGTTAAGCGGCCGACTTCGGCTCAGGTCATGATCTCGCGGTCCGTGAGTTCGAGCCCTGCGTCGGGCTCTGTGCTGACAGACAGCTCAGAGCCTGGAGCCTGTTTCAGATTCTGTGTCTCCCTCTCTTTGACCCTCCCCCGTTCATGCTCTCTGTCTCAAAAATAAATAAACGTTAAAAAATAAAATTAAAAAAAAATAAATAAATTTGTTCAATGTTTAGAATTGAAAATTTGTCATTCATGTCTTTAAGCTGATCTCCCTTCTGCCTCTCATCTCTATATTCCAGTTTCTCAAAGTATAGATCTTAGATCACTTGCTTAACAATCATCTCATCTGCTAATTTAATCTCCAAGTTGTTGATGGTAGCAAGTTCTAGGACTCCTTCCCACAGGAATTTCCCAATTCTCTGATCAACAGAATTTAATTGTCCAGCATTGTTATTTACTTTTTAAAATCGATTTCCTGAACCCCTAACAAGTTCCCAAGGGCTGGGGCAAGCTTGTTTTTTGCCTTCTTACATAGTATACCACTATATTATGCTGCCACTCCTGTTCCTATAATAAATGACTTTTTGTAAAGTTGATATTCTTTTCTCTAGAATACTATTCATCATCAAGCTCACAAAATCTTATTTGAAAATGAAAATACTTACTCGCATCAAGCATTGACTTATATTCCAAGAGTTGCTGTTTAGTTTGTGCTTTCAGCCTAAAAACAGATAAAGAGAAGAGAAAGTAATATATGTGTGTGTGTATTTTTTTTTTTTAATTAAGTAAACTTTACTCCCAATATGGAGTTTGAACTCATGACCACTAGATCAAGAGTCACATGCTCTATTGACTGAGCTAGCCAGGTGCCCCAGACGGTCATATATTTACTGAGGTTTTATTCATTAATATAGGATAAACCAACTCATTTTTTTCCAGCAGTTTATGCATTTAATGAATGTAAATAAACTCAGCAATAAGTCTTCTAGTTTTGCCTGATTTATTTAAAGTGGGCCTGAACAGGGGCACCTGGATGGCTCAGTCAGTTATGTGTCCAACTCTTGATCTCGGGGTCATGAGTTCAAACCCCATGTTGGGTTCCATGCTGGGCACAAATCTTACTTAAGTAAAAAATAGGGGCACCTGGGTGGCTCAGTCAGTTAAACCTCAACTTGGGCTCAGGTCATGATCTCATAGCTCATGGGTTCGAGCCCTGCATTGGGCTCTATGCTGACAGCTCAAAGCCTGGAGCATGTTTCAGATTCTGTGTCTCCTTCTCTCTCTGCCCATCCCCTGCTCACACTCTGTCTCTCTTTCTCTCTTTCAAAAATAAATAAATATTTTAAAAGTTTGTTAAAAATTAAAAAAAAAAGAAAAAGAAAAATATAATAAAGTGGGCACAAAGAGTTCTGGTTCAAGATGACAACATAGAAAAACTGAACTCAACTCCTCCACAGAACACACCACATTACATCTATTTTAAAAAAAATTTTTTTAATATTTATTTTTGAGAGAGAGACAGACAGACAGAGCATAAATGGGGGAGGGGCAGAGAAAGGGAGACACGGAATGTGAAGCAGGCTCCAGGCTCTGAGCTGTCAGCACAGAGCCCGACACGGGGCTCAAACTCACGAACTGTGAGATCATGACCTGAGCCGAAGTTGGATACTTAACTGACTGAGCCACCCAGGTGCCGAATCAAGTTACATCCATTAAATGCCTTTTCCTCTTGAAGAACTAAGGGCTGAGTGAACAGCTACTGAATAAACCAACAATAAAGAGAACAAAAAGGCAGCAGGAAGAGAGATGGACACGTGCTACGATTTGGAAGAGAAACTAGCATACATAGCTCCAGCTCCAGCCGGCAAAAGTCACCAACCACACAGTCTGCACTGGGGACACCATACACAAGTGCACTCCTTCAAGTTTAGAAGTAGCTTGTTTGCCTAATCCATAGAAACAAACACAAAAAGTCAAGCAAAATGGGGAAACAGAGGAATATGCTCCAAAAGGAAAAAGAACTCAATAAAACAAATAAACAATATGCCTGAAAAAGAATTTAAAGTAATGATCATAAAGATACTCACCAGGCTGGAGAAAAGAGTGGAAGAACCCAGTGAGATTTTCAATAAAGACACAGAAAATACTAAAAGGAACCAATCAGAGTTGAAAAATGTAATAACTTAAATAAAAAGCATATTAGAGGCCATCAACAGATTAAAGGATGCAGAAGAATGTATCAGTGATCTGGAAGACACAGTGATGGAAAGCATGCAAACAGAACAGCTAAAAGAGAAAAGAAGTTTAGATGCACAGAGAATTCCAAACCCGATGAACCCAGGGAGGTCCAGACCATGACACATACTAATTAAAATATCAAAGGTTAAAGATAAAGAGAGGATGCCTGGGTGGCTCAGTCAGTTAAGTGTCCAACTCTTGATTTCAGCTCAAATCATGATCTCACAGCTCATGAGTTTGAGCCCCATGTCAGGTTCCGTGCTGACAGCGCAGAGCCTGCTTGAGATTCTCTTTCTCCCTCTCACTCTGCCCCTCCCCGTTCATGCTTTCTTTCTTTCTCTCTCACTCTCTCAAAATAAATAAACATTTTTTTAACAAGATAAAGACAGAATTAAAAGCAGCAAGAGAAAAACAAAAAGTACCTATAAAGGAAAACCTATGAAGCTATCAGCTGATTTTTCAGCAAAAACTTTGCAGGCCAGAAACAAGTGGCATGACATATTCAAAGTACTGAAAAGAAAAAACTAACCTAAACTTGCAGGGTTATCATTAAGATTTGAAGGAGAGATAGGGTTTCCCCAAAAAAGAAAAAATAAAGAAGTTATCACCACTAAACCAGTGTTACAAGAAATGTTACAGGAGCTTCCTTAAGTAGAAAAGAAATGGCCAAAAAAGATATAAGAAAACGATACATGAAAAGATGTAAAATATGACAAGATATATATAAAATGTGGAAAACACAGTAAAAAGGGTAGAGAAGGGGAAAATATTTTTTCTTCCACAGTTTCCTGGGTTTTTTTTTTTTACAGAATATGTTTGAACTTAAATGAACATCAAATTAATACGGACTGCTATTTATTTGGATGTTATATAGGAACCTCATGGTAGCCATAAACCCAAAATCTATGATAGATACACAAAAAATAAAGAGAAAGAAACCAAACACTACACTCACCGATTACAAAGAAAGAGAGCAAGAAAGGTCTTTTGCAGAAAAATTACAACCACACCAGAAAACACATTTTACAAATGGCAATAAGTAGGGACGCCTGGGTGGCTCAGTCTGTTGAGCGCCCGACTGCGGCTCAGGTCATGATCTCGCGGTTCGTGGATTCATGCCCCGCCTGGGGCTCTGTACTGACAGCTTGGAGCCTGGAGCCTTCTTCGGATTCTGTGTCTCCTTCTCTCTCTGCCCCTCCCCTGCTTGCACTCTGCCCCCCTCCCTCTCTCTCCCTCAAAATAAACAAAAAAAATTTTTTTTTAAATGGCAATAAGTACACACTTATCAACAACTACTCTCAATGCAAATGGCTTAAATGTTTCAATCAAAAGACAGAGAATGGCAGAATGGATTAAAAAGAAAACAAGATCTATCTATGTCCTGCCTTAAAAGAGACTCACCTCAGACCTAAAGATGTATATACACTGAGAGTGAAGGGATGGCAAAACATTCACCATGAAAATGGAAGCCTCCCCTCACCCCAAAAGAACCTAGGTAGCAATACTTATATCAGACAAAATTGACTTGTTTTTTCTTCTTCAAAAAAGACTTTAAAGCAAAGACTCGGGGCACCTGGGTGGCTCAGTTGTTTGAATGCTCCATCTCTTGGCTTCAGCTCAGGTCATGACCTCACTGTTTGGTGGGTTTGAGCCCCACGTCAGGCTCTATGCTGATAGTGCAGAGCCTGCTTGAGATTATTTCTCTCTCCCTCTCTCTGCCCCTTCCCTACTCACACTATCTTTCTCTTTTCTCTCAAATAAAAATAAACTTAAATACATTAAAGCAAAGACTGTAACAAGAGACAAAGAAGGGCATTACATAATCAGAAAGGAATCAATCCAACAAGAGGATGTAACATTTTTAAGTATCTACAAACCCAACAATGGAGCACCTAAATACATAAAGAAATATTAACAGACACAACAAGAGAAATTGATGGTGATACAATAATGGTAGGGGGACTTTAACACTACACTTACATCAATGGATACATTATCCAAACAGAAAATCAATTAGGAGACAATGCCTTTGAATGACACGTTGGACCAGAGGGACAAAACAACATATATAGAACATGCCATTCAAAAACAATAGAATACACATTCTTTTCAAGTGCACATGGAGTATACTCCAGAAGAGATCATAGATAAGGTCAAAAAACAAATCTCAATAAATTGAAGATTCAAATCATATTGTGCATCTTTTTTGACTACAATGGTATGAAACTAGAAATAAATCACAATACAAAAAAACTGGAAAAAATACAGACACGAAGACACTAAACAACATGATACTAAACAACCAGTAGGTCAGTGAAGCAATAAAAGAAAAAATAAAAAAAATATATGGAGACAAATGAAAATGAAAACACAACGGTCCAAATTCTTTGTGACACAGCAAAAACATTTCTAAGAGGGGAGTATACAGCAATACAGGCCAACCTCAAGAAACAAGAAAAGACTCAAATAAACAATCTAACCTTACACCTAAAAGGGACTACAAGAAGAACAAACAAAACCCAAGGTAAGTAGAAGAAAGGAAATACTACAGATCAGACCATAAATAAATGACATAGAGACTAAAGAAAAACTGAACAAAACAGAAAAGAGAAAATCATGAGACCAAGATCTTGTTCTTTGAAAAGATAAGCAAAATTGAACAACTCTTAGCCAGACTCATCAATAAAAAAAGAGAAAGACCCAAATAAATAATATCAGAATCAAGAAAAGTAACAACTGACACCATAGAAATACAAAGGATTATAAAAGTATACCATGAAAAATTATATGCCAACGAACTGAACAATCTAACGACTAATGCCTAGAAACACACCATTTTCCAAAACTGAACAAGGAAGAAATTAGTTTTAACAGACTAATTACAATAACAAAATTGAATTGCTAATCAAAAAACCACCAGACAGTAAAAGTCTAGGACTAGATTGAGATTCAAAGGTGAATTCTACCATACACTTAAAGAAGAGTTAATACCTATTCTCCTCAAACTATTCTAAGAAGATAGAAGTGATAGGAAAACTCTGAAATACATTCTACAAGGTCAGCATTACCCTGATACCGAAACAAGACAAAGACACCACACACACAGGGCGCCTGGGTGGCTGAGTTGGTTGGGCATCTAACTTCGTCTCAGGTCATGATCTCGCGGTTCATGGGTTCGAGCCCCACAAGGGGCGCTGTGCAGATGGCTTGGAGCCTGGAGCCTGCTTCGGATTCTGCGTCTCCCTCTCTCTCTGTCTCTCTGCCCCTCCACCGATTATGCTCTGTCTCTATTTCTCTCTCTCAAAAAAAAAAAAAAAAAAAAAAAATTTTAAAAAAGGACACCACACAAAAGAATTACAGGCTAATATATCCCTGATAAACACAGATGCAAAGATCCTCAACAAAATATTAGCAAACCACATACAACGATACATTAAAAATATCACTGGAGCGCCTGGGTGGCTCAGTCAGTTAAGCCTCTGA